TTTTACTCTGAGAAATTAATTGAGGAGAATACTGTATGTTGTTATGTGTACTTCAGCACCAAGGACAGGCCACGCTGGTGTGTTTGAGCCACTCAGAATTTAGGAAGCATGGTTAACACTAAAAACTGTTCAGAAACCACTGCCATTATTTCTTTTATAGGTGGTAACAGTCAATGGCCTGTAGGAAATGTTCCATGCTTGTCAGCTGTCCTTACGTTTTTGTACAGTTGTCTGACTTGATGTCTCAGGTTCACCGCCATCTCACTTCAGCTGTGCAGTCTGCAACAATCTGGAAAAACAAACAAAGAGGGCATGATTTTGTATAATTTATCCTTACTTAAATGTGTCTGATACTGTGATAGGTTGTTGACTCTAGTAAGCTTAAATTGGTACTTGTTGTCTAATATATAATACATAATATGGACCTTATGCCTTAAAGAAAATTTACCCTGACTAGTGACTAGAGTAGAATCCCCACAGCTTGATTGAGATGTGCTAAATTATAATCTGTTTGAAAACAAGGCACATGGCATTGGCATCTGATCAATATACAGTACATACATAACATGCATGTACAAATACACACTTACAAAAGTTTTTGAGAAGCACAATAAATTGATATGCATTTGCAAGAATCTGCCAGAGCCTGGTGACTCTTAACCTGTCATGGTACAATATTTACTGCATTTTCTGTTTCAGTGGCTAATTCACTGAACCATAACATATGTGGCACACCACGGTCAATTACACAAGAATGACATTCATACGCGTTTCATTACAGTTTGAACATATATTTTGGTAATATTAGAAACATCTGACCTACTTTATACCTTCTTTGTGAAAACACACGAACAACAACAACAACAACAACGTGCGACGTCAAATTCTTTTGAATCAGAAGCTGGGGTCATTGACCCGAACTTCAGTGGCCATGAAAACAACTGCATGCGTTCGTGCACGTACGTACGAATTCAGCCCTTTCTGTGACTTTCTACCCATGACAGTAGCCAGGGATAGTTCAGAAACTTTAAGAATACCTTCCTGTATTGACTGAGGCTACCACAAGTTGAAAACTTACCACAAACACCAAGAAAACGTCAGTCAAAACATACAACTCCTCTGACCCTGGCACAGCTGTCTGACATCTTTACGTAAATACCGCAAAACGGTCATGTGTTTACGACACTATCTGTATATGTAGTCGTTAGACAGATTATCTTGTCTTACTCGTAGAAAAAAACTTGTCAAAAAGTAGTTTTATTAAAGGCAGAAAGAACTTTTCCTGTTAATTTTCTTTAAGAGCTCCCCAAAATAAAGAGTTACCATATACTGCCGTAAAATAAGAGCTGTCCACGAACGTAAGCAGACATGCGCAGTAGGTTATTCGGTTGCCATCGTAGCTGTACACGGAAGCCGCAACTTCCAAAACACAAAATGGTAAGAACACAGAAAAACGCCTGGTTTTCACCAAAAAGTTGACGTTTTGTGCATTTTTGTAGCTTAGCTGAATTTTCTGTGTGTTCTTGTCTATCTCTGTGTCAAAAAATCATCTATGAAATGTTATTTCGTAAGATTTCTGGAGGGAAGAAAGTTCGTGGGGAGGGGGGTGGTGTTTTATCCAGTGTCGTCCAACTTTATCTGCTTGCCTTAAAAAAAAGAACTGCTGTCATACCACAAAAATATGCGCACACTGTTGTCCACACCCTGATATGAGTTGACAAATGAAACCACAATAAAACTCACATTTCACAAGTTCAGGACCATCCTGTCAATAACAGAAAAATGCACTATGTACAGGATGATCCTGTCAATAGATCAAATTTTCCCACTATAGACAGGAACATCTTTTCAACAGTGCATTTTTTTTATGCATGTATATGGAACAGGTACAAGAAACCATAATTATATCAGGATTAAGAATATGCCTTTTCGTCAGAAAAATAATTTGATCAAAGTTCACCTTTATGTCTATCATATTCAATTTTTTGCTAACTACCAGTAATTCCAATGAGTTTCATCCTACTAACCCTGTGTGTGTGTGCCGTGTGCCGTGTTTTCTCTCTTGTGCTGATATAAAACCCGTAGCCTCCCAAGTCGCCTCCAAAGAAGTCGGCCAGCAGCACAAAAAGCTCTGGGAAGGTAAGAGAAAATGTCTCAAGTTACGTAAGGTGGTGAAGTTTACTGCACTGCATGAAGGTAACTGAAAGCATAAGGTGAACCACTTGCATGGCTTGGACACCCCTGCTTGCATGTCTGCTTGGTAGCTTCCACATCTGATATCACAAAAAACTACCGGTGATAAAATTGTTTAGATTAGAGAAATGCACAGCATGTAATGCTATGTAAACTACTTGTAAGTCAGGCAAGGCAATCTCAATCACTGATTGGTAAATAACCACACCAGGGCACTGTCTGCTGCTTTGCATTATTTTTTCCTTACACAGGGCTTCAAATAAATTATATGCATGTAGGAAATTTGCAGAAAAATACATGTATTTGAATATGATATGTGGGAGTAGACTATAGCTGGTTTGACTGACTGTGTCATTACCTGTGGCATGTAGCCTCCCAAGAAGCCGCCCAGCGCCAAACTCAGCAAGGCTGAGAAGGAGAAACTACAGAAGGAAGAGGAGGAGAGGAAATTAAAGGAGGAAGGTACACCTCACTTTCACTTTCAATGTACAAAATATATTTCCAAATAGAAATATTGCATCATACAGTCATGCATTAATAAACTTTACGGTTTTCACTGATGGCATATTTTTGTTTAACCTGTCCTTGTTATTAGACTATCATTTTCTTGATAAAGGCAGTGTTTGTACACATTGCCTGAAAGACTGACTGGAAGTTTTCTTCCATCTGTATCTGTTTTATAGAGGAAGCCAGGAAAAAGGCAGAAGAAGAAGAGAGAGAACGACTGGAAAAGGAGAGGATAGAAAGAGAAGAACGAGAGAGGCTGGAAAGAGAGGTATGAAGAGGCATGAATAGATAATGAATGACGATCAGTCATGTACTGGAAATAGAGGTGGTCTTGCTGTCAGTTATAATTTACAAATCATAATGTGATGTCAGCAAGTTATTGACTGAATCTGTAAAAAGAAGACATGATACTAAACTTGAAAGTAACTTCCTTCAACATAAAAAAAGATTAACTCACCAAATTCACTCCGCCTCTGGACCAAGAAGTTATGAGTTTGAATCCTGGCTTTCCTTCCATGCACTTTACTGGAAAGGGTTGCAGTCCTTAGGACGAGATGTTAGTCATGGCCCACTGTTCATCATACATGTACTTGTCAAAAAGAGGTATAATAAACCTCTGTATATGTAACATAAACTCTGACTTCTCTGTCATGACAATTTCATCACTTTCTTTCCCTCTGTAGGAGCATGAGCGTCACGACATGGAGATGGCAGATCTGAACGCCGTCCTGGACAACGTGGACTCAGCCATCAACAGTCAGGAGGAGCAGAGAAGGGCAAACGCAAAGGTGAACAAAAGCTACCTGCCTCACAAAAATCTTCCCCAATATAACTGTTCAGAATACAAGATATCAAATCTGTGTGGTGTTGAATGGCCAAGTGGCTAATGCAACCAGACACAAGAGGTCATGGGCTGATTCCTTGCATTACCGGTTAGATTATTCAAGGAGGATTACCTGTTATTGTATCCTTAGGAAAGGCACTTAACACGATTTTCCTCACTCCACCCAGTGAGAAAACATCACTTTTACCAAATTCATTCCATAGGCTTACATAAGTACATTTACAAGATGTTATCTAACAAAAATCAAAAGGAAATTAACTGATGAATGCACATAGAGCATGTGTGCGTAGGCTGAAGCTACAGTGTTGTACCTTATACAATCATGTAATATGGCTTCTGATGATGGTTCAACATCCCACAGCTTCAATAAAGGACTTCTTTTGTTAGTGAAAATTGATTCTGAAAAACTCCCCTTTTGAGCACAGGGAGTGTGGAGGGAAAACGTCAGGCATCCCAGAGAGAAGAAAATTAGGTTGTTTGCAATCATATTTGTGTATAAAAGGGTATTCATTGGAAACCTACTGCTGATATCTCACAGCAAGTGTTGAATGGCTAATGTAATCTTTGAAAGGCTACTGGAGTGCTAATTTTTTAGTATGTTCAAAGAATAAAAATTTTGTAACATGTTTTCCACATTCAAGCTGGGTCCTGATCTCCTCAAAATTGGGGCACAAGCCACTCAAATAACAAACACATTTCAGCATTTAAACCATTTCGTAAGAGTTACCTTTAGCAGATTAAATGTACAGTACAGTTCTGACTTTCCTTGCACATAGTCCACTTTTTGCAGGTGTGCCTCCTTAGCTTGGTTTTGGGGTTGATGCAGGCAGTGGTGGGCTGGGGTGTACCTCTGCCTGTACGGTTAGCAGCATAGGTCGGCCTGGTTGAGTCTTCTCCTGTCCCGAAGGGGGTTCTTCCTCCGGTGGTCCTTCTCCCCGTGTGTGGACTGGGCTGGGAGGTGTGTCCTCTTCCTGCTGCCTCCCTCCTTCAACAAGTTCAAGAGAAGGTGGTGTTGATGTGAATTCTTGGCTGGATGCCTGTCGCCTGCGATCAGGTGTGCCGAAGACTGCCATCTCCATGTCCTGGCTTTGCTGTACAGGGGGCTTCACCTGTACATGTGCTGCGGGGACGTTCTGAGGCACGCCACACAGCTCCCTCAGAGCACGGCAGAACTCGGGGTGCAGGAAGCTGTAGACGACGGGGTTGACCACAGATGAGAGCGTCAGGCATACCAACTTGGCCACTCCTGCGGCTATGAGTAGCGGGGCTTCTCTTTCCTCCTCGTGGATCAAACCCGGCCAGGCCAGGGTGGCCATGAATATGATGGATGCTGACAACACAGCTAGAACGACGACGTGCGGCGCCATTGTCCTGAAGGCCTTGGTCTGGCAGAGCCACAGCTGGCGGTTCTCGTCCCTCTCCTGTTGCACCCTGGCTTCCCTGAAGACGAGGTAGTAGATCACGAATATGGGGATGACAGCTAGTCCCGCCCCGATGTGAGAAATGCTTTCGAAGATGGCGGTGGTCCTGGCACTTGCGAGGACGTCCGCTTCACACAGGCCGGTACCGGAGCCCAGCAGGTGTTTGACCACCGCAGGCCCAGCCCCGAACAGCAAGGCAAAGGCCCTGACGGCAAGTATGCCCGTGATAACGCGCTTTGTGGTGACTTTGGTGTTGTAGTGCAGCGGCTGGCAGATGAAGTAGTACAGCTCTGTCGCCATCAGGAGGTATGTTCCGTACATTGACACTGTAGACGGAGAGCCCACCAGTAGTTCGATCCAGCACATCTTCTGGAGGCTGTCGGCATCCGGATTTAACACTACATGGATCTGCATGGGAATCAGGCACACGGTGTAAACGATGTCGTCTGCCGCCAGGTTACACCGTAGGTAGTGGCGAGGCTTGCGTAGAAGCTTGTTTCTCCAGACCAGGTAGATGAGCAGAAGGCAGCATCCCAGAGCCAACACCAGGCTGGTGATGAGGTACGCCGTCTGGAGTCTGCGAGACAGGGGGCTGTCAGATAGGATGTAGTACTTGTGTGCTACATTCATGGCAAACTTACTTCCTTCTCCTGACATGTTGTTGGACATTGCAGTTTGAAGATGAGAAGATCAGAGATTGTTTGTATCAGAAATTTGTCAACCTTGCGATGCAAAACATCTGAGTGAGCAGAAGAGAAATCTCAGCCCTGCATCAGCGATCGCGAGTGTGAGATAGAGAGGTGATCTGGGAGAAGATTTGCTGCTTGCAGGACGCGCAGGTCTAGAATGACTCTGCGTGGACATTCGGCCAGTAATTGATTCGTGAAAGGATATTAAAATTCAAATTAATGCTACTAACACCGCACAGCAGGTCCTTAACTTTTCAATATCCCCTTTACCCACTCTGTTATGGACTTGTTGAATGGCTCAGTAGGATAAAGGATACTGGCCACAGGAGTGCCCTAATTAGAGAATTCTACACAGAATATTCTTCATCACCCACTGGAGGACTGGGATCGAGGGTGATACGTAATACACCAGGTAGTAGTGAAATAATGGGAATGGTATTTGAACAGTTTTTATGATCCATGCTTCCTAAATTCTGAGTGCTGCAGATTAAATTTGTCTGGTGTCTAATTTGTCTAATTTTCAATGATACCTGTACCAGTGCAGAAAAAGCATTTTGAGCCCTGGTACCTGTATATCCAAGGTAAGACTAACAGAACCTTGTCTGGTGTGTGTTTCAGTGGGAGCGGTACATGAAGTGTGACGGCAGCCCTGACCCAACAGTCACACAGGACATCAACACTTACATGAGCCTGTGGAGGGAGGACAAGGACAACTCTGAAATCAAGACAGTTCTACAGGACAGCAGGCAGCTACTAGCGGTGAGATTTTATCTCCTTCTTCTTCCAGTTACTTGTCAAACTTCAATAGGCTGAAGGCTCTTGGCACAGAGGGGGAGGTGTGAAAGGGGGTGTGGTCACTTAGCTTTGTAAATTGTGTTGTGGGTTTAGAGGCTCAGCTCCTCAAGGTTGATACTCCATGTCTGCCACCCTGAGTGGGTGGCAGTGAGTACGCAAGGGTGGTGGGTACCTATAGGTATCTTATTTTCATCTTGACACAACTGGGTAGCCCCTGCAATTTATAAGAAGTTTATTTCCAAGACAGCCCAGTATAAACAGAACATGATGTTAGAAGATGTATAATTTGTGTGGTGAAGATAAAAGGAGGACAACATTCAGAAGTGCAAAGATCTGTTCTGTCTATTGATTGATTGACTGATTGATTGATTGTTCCAGCTGATTGGTGAGTTAGAGTTCCTGATGTCTGACACTCCTGAGGGTGAGTTATCAGAGTCAGACCTGGGCCGGTACAGACAGACCATCAGGGACCTGCAGGAGCTGCTGTCATACAAGCTGGACGAGGCCACTGTGGACATGCTGAAGGTGGGACACACTTCAGGGCATTAAAATTGGATTTTAAAGTCCATTTTCTGGTCATTTTTTCAATGCAAGTTGAATCAACCCTATCCCATACAATTTATACACTCCCAAACACTGCTGAACTCCCCCCAACCATGGATAGGTCAGCTGTGGTTGGCTTAGAGTGTTCGGTGAGGTCGGCTACTGTTCTGCTTTGCCAGCCGATTGTTTCAAAATGTTTAGACTCAGAGGTCTGAAATCTCTGATTTCTTGTTTGTATCCAGAAAGCCACAGCAGAAGCCGACATTGAGTCAGGGAATCTGCAGAAGGTCTCAAAACTGGACGACATCATAGTCATGCTGTGGGCAAACCTCAACAAAAACCCAAGGTGGGTATTTCAGTATTTACAAAGATTTACCATATTTGTGGAAGGAATGACATAGCGGGATGGTGATTATCACCTCTTCAAGGATGTCAAACCTGAGACCAGGTTATAAGGTTTGAACCACTCACCCCTGCTTTTTTTTCTAAAAGTGAGAAGGTTTGGTTTGGATTCATTGGTATCTGAAAGGTACCGTACTGTAGACAGTATACAATGTCAAATACAATAGACTACTGATAGCCCATTTGACAATTGCCCGTTGTGTACTGTCTTGCCTATTGGATACTGTCTTGGCTACTAAACTATCTGCTTGGAGATAAGTTCTCTATACTTACTCTTACTACCTTTTCACCTCTGCAGGTTTAAGTCCTTTGAGTTCCCAGGAGAAGGTTTCACCTTCGAGCTGCCCAAGCCCCTCGCCACGGCCGACGTCGGCATCCGCGTGATCAAAACAGCCTTCGACCACCTGTCCCCTCACTGTCGCACCTTCTACCCCCGCAAGAAGAAAGTGGACAAGTCTGCAGCCCCAGAGGAAGAGGAGGAGAAGAAGGAGGAGGAAGATACCAAAGATGGGGAGGAGGGGGAGAAGGAGGGGGAGGATGAGGAGAAACCGCTTGATGCTGACGACGAGGATGCAAAGTCTGTTGCAAGTGGCAGGAAGGTTAACAGAATTTTCTTTTAAATTATTCGTTTATTGCACATAGCACATACATTGTACATTGCAAGAGTATAACAGTTCACACATTGCTACTGGGGCTGTTCTCACTGGCTTTTTTTGCTAGGGTTTGCTCCCTAGGACTTTTTTTGACAGTGCTTACATTACCACAATTACTAGTACTTGTATGTCAAATCAAATACATGTAGTAATGATAAAGAAGTAAGTGAAACAATACAATAAATCAATTAAACTAAAGAAACAATTTTGATCATCTTGTCAACAGAGCACCACGAGTGCTGCAGGGTCCACACGAGAAAAGGAGGAGGGAGAAAATGAAGGGAAGGAGGGAGAGGAAAAAGGAGAGGCAGAGGAGGGAGAGGAGAAAGAAGGAGAGGGGGAAGATAAGAAACCTACTACTGCAGGTAAGAAATGGTTTCTTTCCATGTTTAAAGTCTAAGCTTTTATTCCAACAGAAAGACTGGTTCTCACCTAGAGCTTTTGACCAGTCACTCTGGTCTTCTTCAATAGAATAACCCAGTGAGGCTTGTCACATAGCTTTTCTGAAGTGTGACGTCAACACTGGGTCAAAGGTATCTGGTAAACAATGTTCAGTTGGCCCCCCGTCACGGTTGAGTGATGGGCCCTGATGTAAATAGCCTCTTCCACCCAAGGGCTCTTAGTACCTGGATGTCTAACCTTCATCGACGTCTAAAGATGCTGACTGTGTGTTTCCATGGCACCAGAAGCTGAGGAGGAGGAGGAGTTGTTGGAGCTGGATGAGGATGTGATTGACCTGCGACAGTTCTCTCCGCTGGGAGGGGTCATGTACATGGAGCTGCTGCAGCTGCCCCCACAGCCAGTAACCGCCAGGGGGTGGAGCATCGTGGAAGGTACGAAATTTTAAGCCTTAGTTCCGATGCAAAGAGAAAGACTGACCATGAATTTTCAGATTTACTTATCTAATGCTAAACTTTATATCAACACGAAGGGTGTACAGCTGTATGTAATATATCTTAAGTTATGTAATTGTATGTCGATGTATTGTTATTTTGTACTTTACCCTCTCCTGGAAGAATAGCTGTCATCCATTGGTGGGCAGCTAAAGGAGAGTTGTTCCACAATAAACCACTAGGATCAAATTTTCAATTTAATCCATCATCAGGATAAAATACTTTTAAACTTAAACCTGTGACAGTTGCGGGCATGAGCCCTTATTCACACGTGTACCCTTTGTGGTGGGATAAAAGTCAGCATCGTACTATGATTACAGTACTACCAAGAGCACAGATGGACTTCCATGATAATCCAATGTGTTTGCCTTAGTTGTGGATGAGAACCTCCGGCGTATCCCTTACCCCGGTGAACCCGAGGACCTGAAGAAGCTCGGCGCCACGCTGACTCTGGCCACGCCTGCGGAGGAGAAACCCGTGGCTAAGGAGGCATCGCAGGCACAGATGCTGCTGGAAGGGCCGCCCAAGGACGGGGCAGCGAAGGAGGGGGCTGAGGGGGAGGGGGAACAGCCGGCACAGCCCGAGGGGGAGGCTGCACCCCCCGCCCCTGTACAGCCGACGTACATCACACCACCTGTGGGCGTCACTATCAAGTAAGGTTCACTCATCGAAAACTATGTTGGGGGGTTTCGCCCTCCCAAAAAATTATGCTAAAATCCTAAAAGCTTGTGAATTTTTCCTAGGTATTGTAATGTTTGATGTTTGCCTGTCCCCAGACTGCCCAGCACGGTGGCGTTTTACGAAGAGCCACAGCCAGCGAGATGGAGCTGGTCAGGGAAGCACTGGAGACTGGACGGCTTCACTGACATCAAGTATGATGAAGGTATGTGAACCCAAAACATTTCCCAGAGGTCTGTGAACAAGGTTACTAATTTCAAAACTCAAAATACTTCCAGGATGTCTAAAATCTAGGATTTCTTTTTTTTCAACAAGTTTGCTCAATACAAGGCCAAAAGATCTCTTCTCAACACTGAATGCACTGAAAAAACCAATGTGCAGGATTGGATTAATATGTTTTATATGATGCCAATTGCTCTGGTTTTTGCTTATATCTTAATTTTGTCATTTTCATGTTTGATATTCATTTCTTGTTGTTTTTTCCCCCAGAAAACAAGACGCTGAGTTTCAAGACAAACACGTTTGGTCTGCTGACCGTGATCCAGGACTCACACCTGAACATGCCGTTCCAGTCCTGGGAGATCCGACCACGTGGAAACAACGCTGCTCTCTTCACCATCATCGCTGCTATCGTCGAGCTGGAGATTGAGATTAAGGTAGGGGATTTCTATATAAGTTGTGTAAGTTGTGTAAGCCTAAAAATAGTTATAAAGTAGAGTGGATTCATTCCTCAAGCTAACCAACATCTAGCACACCAGAGACATACTTTCAACCCAGAATGATCCCGTACCTCACAGTCAAGAAGGATTCTAGAGCCCTCAACAAAGAGGCCTCCCAACGTCAAGTGCAAGTTGACAGGCTAGAAAAAGTTTTAAATGTTGCTTGGGTACATGAGACCCTACAACCCTCCATCCACAACAGTGGCTCTTGTGGTTCAACAGGTCTAACTTGAATTTCTTCAGTAAGTCTTTTACACATCAATTCAGACACTCATACATATTTCAATCAATACACAGATTACGCTTGCCTTTAGAGTTGTTCTAACTTCTAAGTCACTGATGAAAATCTTGCATAAGCTTAAAGTTTTTAGATTATTTCACTTTGGTGCCACAAAATCTCTATGTGCATGCTTCCTTCCTGAAAGTCATTTCATTGGTTGCTTGTGCCTTGTTGCTAGGATGACAAGTGTTGTCTGAGCCAACCAGAGGACACCCCTGAGCTGGACCACCTCCGGAAGAAGTGGATGGCTCCAAAGGACCTGGTTAAGGTATGCTGGTGGAGAAGGACTGTTCCATTTAATGCTTCCAGGAGGGACAACCTAAGAGAATTGGGGATGGGGCTATCAATATGGATTCCTTTAAGTTTAACACTTCAGTTTTCCAAATTTCACAGTTCCATAATGCTATTATACTTTTTTTATTTGTATTAAAGTAAACATCCACATGTTACTAAATTCAATGAATATACAAAGTTAAGGAGTTCTGGATTTTGTGCAGGTGTAGCATGTTCTGCCGATGTGCTCACGTTACAATTGACCTGATGATTATAATTAGGAAGCTTTCTTCCCCATTGCAAGAAGGCATCACAAGTACAATTTTGTCTCCTCAGGCCCTGAGAGCAGCTGGGGTGAACATCTTTCCAGAACCTGACTCCAGCAAGTTTGTCAGCATGACCAAAAAGGTGGGCAGTTTAACACAGCCAGTCCATACCATGTACTAGTTATTTAAAAACATATTTTGCATTTGTTTGGAGATGCTGACATATCACTGTAAGTTGCTTCTTTCCTAAGCTTTACTCAAAAACATACTGGATCCTTTTCCTCTCCAAGACAGGGAGTCAATGATGTTGATGTACAGTGAAACATAATGGATCCTTAAACTAAAATTTTTTTTCAACTGCAGTTTTTTAAAACTTCAACTAAAAAAGACGTATTTATAATCATCAAATTTTGTTTTGTTCTCTGCAGGATGAGGAGGCTGAGATGTTGACGTACCGTTTTGCAAGCCCGTGATGCATTATACATAATGCAACATTACTGAATCCTAACTAACTAGTACTGTTTTTATTCCAAATATTGTTTTTTTCTCTTTAGGATGAGGAGGCAGAGATGTTGACGTACCGCTGCATGGCCATGACCCTTCCTGCCTTCGCCTTCTCCTGGAGTAAGTGGAACGCCGAGGCGGGGGAGGACAGGATCGTCATGCAGGCTGCAGAACATCTCGAGGACGAACCTGTCAATGAGGTAAGGAAAAAACTCATGTTTAATTTGTATAAGTCTTAAGGGCCATTATGTCAGTAACATGTCAACCAGGTAGAGAAAAATCATGACTTAAAGGGGCATCATGTAACATTGTTGCACCAGAAATTGGGATATTTCAATTGAAATCTTTGTGTGATGATTACTGCTTTATTACAAAGCAAAAATTAAGATATGATACTTGACAAGCAAACAAACAAAAATGGAGGACAAACATGTCGACGAGCTCAGTTACTGTTTATTCTTCTGAAGGAATATGTAATGATAATATAGTTCTCTAAGTACTATAACGTACTGAACTCAGTGTGACATTATTATCAATTTTTCACTGTCCCCTGTCTACCATTGCAGGATGACTGGTGCTGCTATGTGCAGAGTGTTCGGAGAGCCAAGAAACTCAAAATCAATGAGTTCAGCGAGGAGTTCTCTGTGGACCATGCGGAGGGCTCTGAGGTATAACTCTACTTCTGCATAATTATAGATTTTTTAAAAGATTTTTTGCACAATGACGTTTTTACAGCTTTTGAAAAAAAAGGGGGGTCAGTCATCTGCATTAATAAGCTTGATGCATTTAAAATCCTCCTGTCCTTTTCAGTTGGGCAGGCAGGCAGAAAGGGAATTCAAATTGTCGTTCTCCCAGCCAAAAGCAAACACTTGACCTAAAATCACCATTGTTGCATTATAACCCATCTTTCCTCGCCTTTTAATAGATGTACAGATCTACATGTACTCCATCTGTATCTTTGCTTGTCTTTAACACCTACCTGTGTGTCTGCTCCCCCAGCTGAGGTCGAACATGTACCACATGCTGACAGACTCGGCCAGTGAGAAGGCCCGCGAGCGGATCCAGGCAGCAAACTTCAGGTTCCTGCACTGTGCCGGGGAACTCATCCGGGCCACAAGGCTCTTCACATACTCTTAGAGTAACAGACATTCTATGAGACAGTCTGGGGGACTACAGTTACTAGTATTTCATTACAACAATGGGGAGGATAATTTTGAAACTTACAAAGTTTGACAATGTATTGTTGTGATGTTTATATTCTGTCACTGTTATATAATATGATTCCATAACTCAAAGTTGAGATTTACTCTAAAGTACTATCTGGCTGTATATAATTATTCTTTGCACTGGGATTTAGTTTTAAGGTTGTCTGGTGTACATAGAGTGTAAAATTGCGAGTCTTGTTGAAAGTTTTGTATTTGAAATTCAACTGAATTTTACTTGGTTCCTCTTCTTCTGAAGTATTGCCTAGCCCACGATACAGTGTGTGGATAATTAGCAGGTTTTTCTGGCAGATTATTTTGGAAGAATCATTCTGTAATTCATTTCCATGCATACATACATGTACAATGTATTTAGTATAGATTAAATGATTTGAACCATGATTTAAACTCCAACTATCTTTTTTATTTATGTTTAATATCAAGAGCATTGTTCAACATTTGTACACTAGCTATTGATACTATAATGATTACACCTCTTGCTAGATAAATATTGTAAAAAAATTGCACCCAAACGAGACACATCAATACAACATAATACCTAATCTGCAAGTAGATGTTGCGAGGGGCTAAATCAACATGTTCTCCTAGCTGCCCATTATTTTCTAGTTTGATGTAGAAAGGACAGCTTAAGGAAAACATATCAATCAAGCTTCCCAACATCTGCTTGGAGATTGCATGTTACCCTCCATTCTGTTTTGTTCTTTTTTTTGACATACAAAACACTATCTGGTCACCTTTCTATCAAACATTTCCTTCAAGAACTTCTAAGGTTTCCACACAAATGAAGCACCGTAAAAATCAGTACAACATACATGTATACTGGCATAGAACCTAAACATAACATCATTTGTGAGGTCAGCAACAATTTGGTCACATTATAACATGTAACACACACTGCCCTTACATAAACTACAATTACATGTAATATACACATGTACAAAAAGTCATATACACCTTAGCTAACAACTCTATACATGTACATGTAATTGAGAAATATGCGTATCATTTACAAGTCAAAATCAAGGCCACTTGGATTGGAATCTCTACTGGTAGAATGTCCGATGTAATGGCAGAAAATGTGACCTGTGGACAGAGACTCCTATCGCAATCTCTACCAGCAGAATCAGCCATCTCTAACCTGACATACAATGTTACTTACATAGTTTCAATACTACATGAACCTTCAATCCTGGGTCTGTTTAAGTGTAGGACTGGTCAAAGGGGTTTAGAGCAAAATATTGTTTAAAACATTCAAGCTAATCTTGAAGGACATTCAACATTGATTAAGGCATCAGTCAAGGACAAGATCTACAATGTAGAGTGCGAAACTTCCACAGCTACATGTATACGTAGTGCAGAGCAAGTTCATAAGGCAAGAGCTAGTTTTTGACAATATAAAAGTCTGATAGTATCTTACTAGTACATGTATATATAACAACAAGGCAGGCTTGCATACTTTTGTTCAACAAGGCACTTACATGTATGGTAAAAAACAGACTATGCATTAATAACAACTTCAAAACATCACTGACCACTGACGGAATGACTAATGCCTGAAGTATGCTGTAATTAGAAGGCTGACAGAGCAAAACTGAATAATCTCCTAGCAGATTTCTTAAGGGCCAGGGGAGGAGGAAATTGGTCCCCTTGCCCTTGATAATCTATTATATTATAATATATAGAGATTAGACACTAAAAACAACAATGAAAATGCACAGTATATGGTAGCCCATAGCTCCAAATGTGTAGGTTGAGGGGAAAATTCTGACACAACTAAAACCTATAGACCACCTCTTCACATGTGCGCAGAGAAACATGCATTGGACTTTAAATTTGAGGTTTGTTCAGCAAGGCACTGAAGGGAACAAGAAGCATTAAAGGCATAGATAAAATACTAGTCTTCTTAGTTTATGCTTTCTAGTACTTCTAGACATCTTTCTTTGGTTTTTCAACTCATGTACAGGATGTACACTGTATGTTCGAGTGAGGCTCCTTTGATCACACCAAAACCTGAGTACAAAACATTTCCATACCAACCTTAAGTTGAATTCTAAGTGTAACATAAAACAAATGACATCAACAGCCAACACCATTCAAATCACATTGATTTCATAAATCAGCTGGTTTCCTATTACATGTAAAAGTTTGATCACACCAAACCTGAGGACAATACATTTCAGATCTGTACCAACCTTACATTCTAAGTGTAACATAAAAAATGATACCAACAGTTTATTCAAATCACACTCATAAGCCAGCATGTTTCCTGTTACATGTGAGGTTCTTCTTCATCTGGAAGTACCAGTCGAATCGCCCCAGGGCATACTCCAGGAAGCCAAAGTTGATGTGGCTCACGTAGGCCTGCGCGATGGCCCACAGGCTCCACCAGAAGTGTGACACCAGGGCAAACCTCTCCACCTCCCGCAGGATGGCGTCGCGGTCGGCCGATGTTTCGCCGCTCTCCGAGAGGTATGCGTCCAGGAAGTGTAGCTGCTGTTTTCTTGACGGCCAGGCTGCAGGGTCGATGGTGAAGTAAGGCCACTTGGGATGGTTGTAGTCCATGGCCCACTCACAGAAGTGGTTAGCGAAGTCAAAGCCGCGGTAGTTGTAGGCACTGTTGTGTAGTTAATTGAAAAATAATTTATTTTGGTAAAACTAATAGTTTATCGGTTTAAAGATTGCTGCACAAGGCGATGTGATAACTAGCCATGTCACACAGGGTTCTGACAGGTATTATATGGGCTTCCAAAAATTCTATAGAATATATAACTCGAAGGTGTTTCGTATGCCGCTTTTGTTACGATTTTTTGTTTAGGGATATGAAATTTTGGCACATTTTGCATTTGAAATGTTTTTTCTCGGGTAGGGATGACATAAAATAAAATACAACACCGTGTTGTATTCTATATTTACCTGTACTCATAGTCAATGACTGTGACCCGTTCGTCGCTAGGGGTAACGCTGTTCTGTTCGTCCACGAGGATGTTTCCCTCCTGCAGGTCGTTGTGACAGAACACCACGGGGGAGTGGGTATCTTCTATCAGTCTGGGTGGGGCAGGAAAATAAACAAAACAGGCAATCAGAGATGGCAGACTTCACCAACTTTGTACATTGTATAGGACACACACACATTCGCAAACACACAGACACACACACATGCGTACACATACAAACACACACGCATGTACACACACATTGATTTTATCAATCTGGGCAGGTCTGGAAAGCAAAAGGCAATCAGACAGACTTTACCCCCTCTGTATAAGTCGCACACACGCACAGACAGACAGACACACACGAACACACACACATATACATTGTACACACACAAATACACACACACACACACACACACACAGATACACACGCAGATACACACACAAATAAACACACAGAGACACCAGAAAGCAGAAGATAGTAGTCAGGCTCTCCTGTAACAATGTATCAAAGAAAAAAACGACCCTCTTCCAACCTGAGAATGAACTGCAGCTCTGCGTCCAGGTCGTACGCCAGCAGTTGCTTCAGCTGCTTTGCCTTGGACTCTTCCTTGAAGGAGACGTTGTTCAGGACATTGCTGAGGTAGCTGAGGATACAGAAGAGCAAAAAGAAAAAAAATTAATTTTTATTTACTTCAATGTGTAAACTGTATTACTGTCACTCACAGCTTTGCAGAGAGTAAAATACAAGTACAAATGAAGTAACACATGACATGAGCATTGCACAAACTTACAAACTGTGCAAATTATCACACACTGTCAGCTAGAGTCAGATGCATCAACAACTTCGGCAGTGAGTTATGCCGTCTACAGACAGACAGACAGAGAGACAGACAGACACATACCAGTACATGCGCAAACATGATACAACACATGCGCGAGATAACGTTTTTGGCAAATGTAATCAATTCAGCAACAAACAAGCTGCAAGCAAACGCACCTTTTCAAATGGTCGCTGAGCCACTTGGGTTCCTTACACAGAGGCATCTCTAACTTGTGTAGCCGGGCCATCTTCCTGCCGATAATTGCAGACAGGGTGGGGTTGGGTAGGTCTGCTGTCGTCAGAGTTCGGGATTCCTGGTTTATGGAAGAGCAACACCAAATTTTAGCAATTAGCGCAAATTCTAGCAATTAGCGCACCACTCCACCTTAGCCTAACATGTAGGTACACAGCAATTTTTAAAAAATTGGTGCACAACAGAAAAATTTAATACATGTACCAGAAAAAACTAAATTATCCTCACTGCCTCTTATCAGATCTAGAGCTTGAATGTGAAATTGTAACGCTGTCTTTAAGACTTTAAGCAACTAAAATAACAAACTAAAATTTTTTGTGACACATAAATATCAAGAGATTGAGCCCTGACTAGTCCTGACCTTGAACTCCTCCAGCCTGCCGCCGTCAAAGATCCCCCTGAGCTGAGGCGCCAGTTTCTTCTCGGACAGGATGCTGTAGATGACGGAGTCCTGGATCACCGTGGGAACGTCGCTCAGGATCTCCCCGTAGATCCGTAACAACACCTTACGGGGAACACCTGCCCAACAACAAGTCACAGATCTCACAGTTACAATGTGAAGTGTTCAGAGTTCAGGGCTCAACATACTGGGTACATGATAACTACTGTACATATGCACCGTAGTGCAGGTAAAATTGGAGCTGTGCAGGTATTTCTGATGTCTACCAGCACGGGGGCTGCACCTAACCTGCACTGGTCCATGTATTGGGTATATGCAGGTTAGTGCAGGTAAAATTGGAGCTGTACCAGTATTTCTGATGTCTACCTGCACCTAACCAGTACTTTTAAGTACTGGTTAGGTGCAGCTTAAAAGCTACGAGTACAGACAGTCACATACAAGTAGTTACTAAGTCTACTAACTACAGACACATATACCCACCTTTGACTGCATATTTCTCGGGTAGAGTGCAGACGTACAGGTAGTTACTAAGACCCCCCGGAAGCGTCTCAACGATGAACTCCTTCTCCGGCACCTCCTTCCACGGCGGCCCGAGGTAGTCGTAGCAGATTGTCCACGCCTTGGTGTGGAACGCAGGGTCCAGTCCGTTGTTGTTCTCCGCCATCTTGTACCGAACGGTGCTTCTCGCTTGTTGAAAACTCAAACCTGTGCGGAGGAGAGGAGGAGAACAGAATTTCTGAACATGCTAACAATACAAAATAAGAATGTTTCCCCGTTGACTCTACATCATCTCAGACCTGTGGGGACAAGAGCCTGAACAATCTGTAGATAAAAGGAAAGCCTTTCTGGATATGCTGACAACGTCAGCAAAATGCCATTAGTAACTTTTTCCATGCTGTCCACAACATCAACAGATCCATATGGCAACGTCATTATGGTACCTCACCAAAATTTCCGATAATACAATAATCTGGGATGCCAGCCTTTTAGCTCTAGTACGCTCTCTCACAAAGAAGCTACCAAGAGCATGCTTCTAAAAAGGCTGGTATCCAGTCTACTACATTTGTACAATACTAGTAAGGAATATTTTGACTGTAAAAAATTTCCTGGCATCTCCCGAACCTTAAATGGCAACAATCAGCCTGGCTGTCAATGCTAGCAGTGATGCTCACTGTGAAATCTTCTACCTCAGAATGGACAAAAATCTGAACAGTCAGACTCAGGGGTCCCTCACACATGCAGCCGCTCAATAAACAAAAGTGCACCAAATGCAATAACACCGGCATCTGTTGATGCATGGCAGAGCCATCAAGTCGTTTTGCCATACAGCCAGCCAACAAGACTTATTGAATTTCTTTAGAAAATTGTATGGAGCAACACGGGAGCACTGGAGACTACTAAATCAATTCAGCACTGCCGGAGGATTTGCAGACAATGTCACGCTTTGTTATTGACAGTAATGAGGCTGTTATATGTCCTTTTACAAACCCCCGCCACAACTCGTAATGTAATAATTGCAGCACAGTACATGGAGTGAATGTGAATATCTGCCGATACCAGTATAATATGAATGTTATGGTTTTTATCATCTAATGTCAGGTACAAACTGAAGGTGACAGTTTAATATCCAGATGCCAGTGAGGCATGGTCAGTGTCTAAGTCAATGCCATGATAACGTCCAAAATAGTAACTGTTGTCATTCTTAGTTAAATTGTTTTTAAGGATCATTTGAAAAGCGCCATATAGTCTGTATGCGCACAGTCCCCACATTTGGAAAGGGCCCCTGCATTCAGATGATGGATTCAGATACTAGTAACTCCAGACAGACTCCAGGCAGACAAACTTAACTAAGTCATAAAATTCAGCACTGCTGTTATTCATAATCAGACTTTGAAAACAATATTGATATACACAGTCACATATACATACATCGTACAACTTTAAAGTCAATGAAAAATGTACTTTATCATCATATTCACCACTTTATGTCCTTTCTCTGCACAGAATTGTTTTCCCAATGGTCCATAGACCCTACAGGCCAGGAAAAATCAATGGGAATCAAATTACACACAAGCTGCCACACCATAGATGCTGAGGGGACATCATCACAATTAGATTACCCAGGATCAGGCTGTCTGCACATAGAGTGCACCTCACTGCCGATAAACCTCCCAGTGATTGATCTGAATGTGTGAACATATGGTGTTATGTGCTGATGTGTGTACGCCGGCTCGCTGGTGATTCAAATGGATGACAGAGTTCATGAGGCGGTGACGAATGCAGTCTTCAGTATATAAAAGTTGCAGGTCATGTCATATGCTTGAGCATAAAATTTTATTAAATGCCGAGAAAAAAATTTGTCCACTGTTCTGATACATTTTCTTAATGAGCTTATTACAACTAGTAATCCTTCATGATCAGTCAAGTTTTCATGGAACAACCAGGCCTACATGTAGGTCAGACCTTTACATAATACATGTAGATAATGTTGCCAGGTAACACAAATTCCTAACTACCGGTACTACCAGTAGTCTAGTAAGACTACGACTGAGCAGCAGGGCTATCATACCTGACTTACAAGAGAATCAGTTGAGGCTAACTTCAAGAAAAAAAATCAGAAATCTCCTCAGTTATAAAAAGAGTCTGAATCCACTCTTTTATAACTCATAAAGATCAATCTTTTATTACATGTGGCTCTGTAGACAGCTGAAGACAGCTGAAGGGCAGTTGCACTTATACTGGCCATACAGATAGAGATACATTTTGAAGCAAAGTTGAACTGTAGTATATGAAAATCCCTGATATTCCCACATACACCTGTCCGTCAGACACCTGGCCATACCTGGACACCTGCACTTGCCGTAGACCTGCCAGTCTCCCCACCTCTGTAACACACACTTACAGTGCAGACTCTTCTCCAAAAGTTTTCCCACATGCCTCATTAACATAGAGCAGCTAATTAACAGGTTTGACCCCCAGGTCCAAACCGCCCCTATGACATACGGAATGCGGTATTCCAAAGTACTCAAGTCTAAAGGAGCCCAAAGGAGACTAAAATCAACTCTGCAAATGAGGTCAAAAAGGTTCCTTGGGCAAAGTACAGTACATGTAGCTGTGTAATAAATAACTAATGCAGTGCTGGACATTGCTCGGTGTACTGTTACATATATGATGAGTTCAGAAACAAATGGCTTGCCATCCATATAACACTGTTTGAAAATACATTTATCTGTAATATCTTCCTAGTAATCCTACTGTGAAAAAAACTTTTTTTTTTAATTATTCATATTCAACAACAACTATTTACCTTAGCTTAGCTGTGATAAATTATGTTTTTATTGTTACAGCTGAATCAATTGTTATGTGTCACTTATGAGCTATAATCTGTTTGTTAACAGTGGGGTTCAAGCGCTGCTAACTGACTCATTCCAATGGGTCTGGACCTTTTGGCGTAGTGGTTAGCACGCTGGTGTCATATGCTGGCTGCCAAGGTTCAGTGCAGGCCGGGGTCCAAGGAGTCAGGGGGTTTCCTGTTCCTACTCACTCCTAGTTGTCTCATGTGATCCAGATGAGAGACATTGATTTTCCCAATTTTCTATTTGCTATGATTACTAGAGACATAAAACTGCTAGGTATTAAAACCAGAAAGCACCATTCTCTTCCTCAGTTGTAATTTTGTATTACATAACTTATGTTCGGTATACAATAAAGGCTCTCTTTGCATTAGATGGCGATAAATAAATGTGCTACCAAAATGGAATTTTTTAATAATAATATTGATTTTACAATTTTTGAAATAATATAAGACTATGATGTGTTATAATACAAAACACAACAAAACAAACACAAACAATGTTATACAAAATATTATAAAATGAAAATATTAAAAATATTATAAAATTTTACAATTCTTATTCTTTGTGTGACCATTGCCGGGCATTGATTTTACAAATTTTATTTTAGAAATTATATAAGACCATGATATGATCTATAAAACACAATAAAACAAACACAACGTTTTTCTTTTTAACCATTCTTTATCTATAATACTGATTCGTTGAGTGATCTTTTGGTCACACAGCGATCGAAGCCTCTAGTAGAAAGGGGGTTTGTAACCCGGATTCATGATCAGCAGTGTTTTTGTAACGTAAATAAGTGATGAGGTGGAACACTCCTTTATCATTCATGTGAAGTTGTCTTAGCTAAACAAACAAAACGTTTACTCACCCAATAAACGATCAGAAGGCACAGTGTGGGGCAAACGATAGTTTAAAGGCTAGTTCACATCGTTTATGTGGGAAGGGACAGAAGGAAAAGGAAAGTTTATCCAAAAGTTCTTGCAGCGACCTTCCACTTTCGGAGTTCGATCCGACCACGATCACCGGCCAGCTGTTGTTTATTAGGAAACCGCATCAAAACGCTTTCAAATATCTGTTATGGTTTTGATGAAAATAAACCTCTTATAACGACGTCGGCCGCAATTTTGGTTAATAAATAAATTAAGATTATTTTTATCTCAGGCAAAATTAGAATACAAGATCATTAAATGAAGAGATATTTAGTAAAGTTTACATTTCTTTGCTGTCACACTATAAGTATGCCAAAGGTAAATAGACTATCACATCTCCCACAAGATGTAGTGTACAGAATTTTCTAATTTGAGGCGTGTCTCTAGGTATTGTACACATTTAAATCATTATATATCACAATACATTAAACACATTATTGTATTTTTATAGTTTTTAAGTAATCTAGTCTAATATGTATCACTTTTATAAGAAAGTTAACTTGTACAGCCAACCTGGAAGTTGGACTGGTACAGTCCATCATGGCCGCCGAGCGGGAAGGGAATTTTTTGCTGGGTCTGCCGAGCAAACTTTCCCCCGACATGGCGAGGGAGAAGCTGCTAGAGCTGTTCGAACGGTACAGAAAGTTCGTCAGCAGCAACCCAGACATCACCAGTCAACTGGAGTCGTCATTCCGCGTCGTATCGTACTTCATTGCAGGTGAGAAAATCATGGGAAGGCGGTCTCCTGGTGTAAAAACCGAAACCCCACTGTTACAGTTGACTATGACTTAGAGGTTGTTGACCTAAAGTTCATGGTTTGATGTGTGGTATTAAATGTTGTTGGGAAAGACACTTAACACCTATTTTCTCACTTCCCTCAGGTGGAAATGGGTGCCTGGTTTCTTGCATTAATTTTATGTGCTTTATTTCAGGCTCAAAGTCTCAACTATAAACAAGTAAACAAACAAACATATTTACATTGTGATACATCAATACATGTACAATGTATGTACAATGGAATATAATACAGTGTTTGTTAGATTTGTCAGCATGCATCGCAAGTTTTATGATACCATTGTTTGAGAACTGAAAATGTTGTTTGCCTGTGTAGTGACAAAAAAATATTTTGTATTCATCCAAGACTTCACTTTTTGTTTTACACCGTACCATACAGGGCGGTTCCAAAACTCCTCGGAGTTGGCTGAACTGGGTGAGTAAAATAAGCATAACATTCTCAACTGACAATGTGACATACATGTTTCTAGCTAAATAAAGAAAGTATTTCAATTCTAGAATTAGTATACATGTACTAAATGATGTACTCTTAAGAATATAAATTCAAAGTCATGTTAACGTTATACATGACTTGACATGTTACATGTAATGTTATGTATTCAATTACAAGTGTAATGTTTTGTTCTCCTTCCCAGTGTACTCTGCCTCCAACCTGATAGTGCTGTTGAATGATGGGATACTGCGGAAGGCGGCAAAGCTCAAGACCTCCATGGTGACTGACTTAAAGTTAAAGGGGCATTATTTGACATTACGCATTCTGTATTGAAAATTGAAATATTTTTATTTAGAAACATATTTGCACAATTATCTTACATTTCTGACATATATGATTGGCGCTAAAACAGCCCACACATGTTTGTGTTACCACCACAAACTACCAGAATATAAACATACATGAGCTTTTAAACACACTCGTAAAGCATCATATTTTGGCAGCTCCACAGTCTGATTCAGTGTGAATCCATAAATAATTCCAAGAGGTGGGTGAATGATTGAATGGCAGAGTTCATCATGCAAGGCCACATGTTTAGTGTGAAGTATAAATTTCTTCTATCAATATCTTAACTATATGATGATGCATGTACTACATGTATGTATGTATGTATCGAGGAATTATATACTAGTATACATGTATCTTCCCTTGTTTTCCATAGTCCCTGCCCCAGAAGCGCATCATGACATTACTGACAGTACTGGAGTATGTGGAGGTGTTTGCTGAGATCGGTGCTGCTCGGCTGTGGGGAGAGTTGGGCAGGTGGATCGTCATAGCAGCCATTCAGATTGCTAAGTAAGTGGGGAGTTTCTTTAAGTTCAGCCTCTCCTTTAGCTGTCTACCTGTTACTAACTGACAGCTTGTCTTCCAGGAGAGGATGCAAGTACATGTACATACAACACTGGATAACATCAATGTACAGCTAGCATAGAATTACATCACATAATAAATACTTACTTACTTTATCAGTCTGCTTCTACTGTCACTCAGATTTTTTGAAGCAACAGGCCTTGGCATCCTATGATAGGACCAAAAGCTACAATAGGATCCATGAAGTCAACATACTGGGCTGTTTTTTAAGTGAAACAGTAAATTTTTAACTTTCAATGAAACCACTGCATTGGTAAATCAGGTACTAGTAAATGGAACAAAGTTAGAAAGACAGGTCTTTTTTCAACAGATGGGGCCAAAACATGAACATTTTGGAGTTGATCCAGAACTTGAAACCTTTTTTGCAAACCAGAAAAAATGAAGTGGGCAAATTCGAGAGCCAGCAAATTAAATTGGTGTGGCCTAACATATATGTATTCCCCCAGGGTGGCCCTGCGAGCACTGCTCCTGTTTAAGCACCAGGCAGGGATTGTGCGCACCCCTCCCATCACCCCTCTGGACAGGGAGGCAGACCTGCCGGATGCCTTCCTCAAGAGCTGTAAGGACAAGGTGAGTTAGACTGACTACAGCACGCTTCTAGCGGCTCTTCCACTGGTCAGACATCTAGCCTGACTACATGAAGACTTCTAGCAATGCTTCGCCTATTGGTAGTTCTGAGAATGAGAATTATTTTCTCAAGTTAGAAGTGTATGGCCATAAGCTCTCAGGGAGGAGGCCCAATCAGCCCGACATTGAGAGACCCCGAAATTGTAGAATATCGACCATTAATGTTTCTTCAGAGGTCTGACTTTGAGAGACCTCAAAGTTGTAGAATATCCACCGTTAATGTTTCTTCAGAGGAAGTCAGCAGAAAGCCTGGAGATGGAGGATCTGGACCAGGTGTTTGTACAGAAGGCTGAGGAGCAGGGCAGGGTGCCTCAGGTCACCTTCATGGGGACTCGCTCGGGAAGGAAAGTCAGGAGTCTCACTGCAAGTAAGTTCACAAGGAACAGGATGGATGGACAGGTGGAAGGAAGGAAGTAAAGATGGATGGATGGGTATGGTTGATTCTACTAATCTTATTTGTACTTAATTCATCATCATCTTCAGCAGTAGCTCGTCACTAAGAATTCATGTTTACGTCAGAAATTCAGAATGGACCCTCATTCAGAGAAAATGACCAGAACATTGACTTTGAAAAATTCTGTTTTACTGCCATGAAAAATCACTTTAGGTGCCTTTAAAGCTTTTTTTTACTTCCCCCAGCCCCTCCCCTCTCTCTGAGAGACTGGAAGCTGCCGGGGTTCCACAGAGACTCGCCCGCGGGCCGGACGAAGACTGTCTCGTCCCTGGAGCAGCAGAACCTGCCCCCCACGCGCCTGGGGGGCGCCCGGCTGGTGGGGGAGGCGCTGCACGTGTTCCGCCCCCTGGTGTACCTGTCCTCGCTGGCCACCTGCGGGCGGGCGTCATGGAAACCATGGCTGCTGTCCTTCCTGACGGACGTGTCCAGGTAAAAATGTTAGCACTTTAGAAGCTGTTTAGAAGCTGTGACCACTTTTTGCTTTAGTACAAGGGAGGATTTAAACTGGTATGCACGACTAAAGTTCTGTATGTGTAAAGCGTAGATGAAGCTTTCAGACAGCATTCACTGTCTTTCTTCAGCTACTGATGAAGGCAGTCACGTGACACGGGGTAAAAGGTCAGCACAGGGCACATGACTGGATGAGTGTGTTGTAGATGGGGGGTAGCCAGTTGGTGGCCTGGGCACAATTTAAGGATGGGGAGAGCTCTGGTGTGTGCTGCCTATTTAACCTCATGCTCAAACCATCTTCTCCATCAAGGATGCAATGTTCTGCTTTTTCACTTCTTGCTCCCTTTGCTCCCCCAGCCTGGCCCTGATGGGAGACACTAAGGACCTGAACCTGCTGGAGAAAGCTGAGCTGAAGAGACGGTCTCTCATGCTCCTGTTCTACATCCTCAGGTCACCGTTCTACGACAAATATGCACAGTAAGTACTTTTGTTCCTCAGACCTCCGCTGACCTAAGTAAAATCCAGGCAAATGTTATCATTATGACCCTCCTACAGCTAGCTATAGATTGAATTTTATATAAAATTCCAAATCTGTAAAAACTCTAAAACAGTACGTTATGTCCCTTTCTGGTCAAGTTGATTGAAAACAATTAGTCTTTTCCTGTAGTTAATTTTTTCACCATGTATTTCTGTAGGGCTAAGATCATCCTGTTCCTGAGGCTCCTGGCCAGCACAGTGCCTGGTGTTGGGCTCATTATTGGTGAGTTTTCTCCACAAATTTAACTCATTCCTGTCACGTTTCCTTCTATCTTAATCACTTTCATCTGTGTGTGTGTGTGTGTTGCTTTATTTAAGTGGCAAGAGGCTGCAGTGCTCCTTCCAACTCCTGATCTAGTTGCACAGAATAAGAACTTATAACAGTTAAAGAATGTGCAGAAAATTGACTTTGAAATCCTATTTTGCTGCCTTGAAATTGGATTGGATGCCCTGGCTTACAGATCTATTTACGGATGTAGTCTGTATTATATTTTTATCCTGTCTTCCTCTCCAGAGCCCCTGATTGGTTACCTCCCAAACTGGCAGAGGACATATTTCTACAACTGGGGAACGTAAGGGAGCCGTGCTTTATGTTGAAGTGGTGCCCTGTTGAGATGCCTACATTTTTGACTTGTAAACTTACTTACTTAGGGCGTCTAATCTAAAAATTTGTGTGCCACCCCCGCCAAATTTTCGTGTGAAAAAGCCTCATTTCAAATCCAACTGCCTCTCTCCGCTTGCATATGAAAGCATGTTGCTAACTTCTAATTTTTACTTAATGAAACAATAGTTTCAATATTTTTATGACACTTAAGTGTCAAGGATACGCTGTGTACTAGCTATACTGTACAATGTACCTTTACTGATACAAAGTCAAAATTAGATGCTCCAATTTTGGGTGCACAAAAGTGCATATGCACCCAGTATTTCAAGCCCTGCGAGACACATCATAGTTACAAACTGTACATGTAAGTTTTAGATGCCAGACACCATTCACAGTGGTGTCCATATCTCTGCCATAACATTTATGGCAGTCAAACCTGGCCGCAGCGACTGTCTTAAAAAGATGGTCACAGCAGCAAGGTGGCCACTGTAAACAGGATTGTTTATTCTTGGATCAGTGTGAAAAATAATTAGGGAACCATGATAATGTGGCCACAGTGACCAGATGGTCTGTAATGTAGAATATATCACTAAAGGAGAACCTGTACTTGAATGAAAATCAATCAATTCTACCAAAAATCAAACCTTATTCTTTTAGCAAATAATCGTGTGTTAAATGATCGTGACTCTCATAATCATTGCAATTTCTGTGTGTATATAATTATATGAATTAAAAAGAATGATAAGTGCTCGCCTGCATAATCTACATGGATTCTTTACCTGTATCTATAAACCATAGTGTGAATAAAATAGATATCTAAGACTGTTACTGATCATGCTCTCATTGTAAACTATTTGTACGATACTTGGACCAATTTTGTCAGTCATTGTAGCCACTGGCTCTCTCTTACAATGTTGGTAGTCTCATGACAAAGGATCTCCTTTATCTCTTGTTTCATTGCCACTCTATCCCTCCTTACATCTGCTTGTTTTTCATTCATATGGTAATATACAACGCCCAACCATCTCTAATGATCCAACCATCAAACATGATACACGACGTAAAGAATGACATACACAATACTACTGTTTTTCCATCTGTGGCAAATGAGAAGTGGTCTTTATTCACAATGCAAATCATGATTAAGTTTATGTATAAAAATCATTCCAGTTTAGCAACTTGTCCATGTCCAAGCAACAACAAAAAAACTAACAGCATTTTAAAACCTTAACCAATGACTAACCAACAATGCAACCTCCACTATATTTTTAATGATACCTACATGATTGTATAGTTATCTATATAGCAAACAATACAAAACTCTGCTTTCGTTTGCGCTATACAACCCACTAGTTGCAGTTTGAATGTTTTACTATTATTCTAATAAGCTGGCTATGTACATAAAATGTGCAATTTCGTGGTGCACAGACTTTATACAATCAGTAATCTACTAATTACACTTCTTCTTAACTGTAAAACGATTGCACACCTCTTGTATTTCTAGCCTCCTTCACACTCTAGGGGGCAGCAGTCTTTATTTTTTGGGGGGAGTGCTGATTTGCAATTTTTACACAGGCTATAATGTAGGTTGTTTGAAAGGTGAAACTCCCTCCGCAGATATAACTCTCTGCCGCATTAAAGTAGCCTCCTTTTCAGTCATGTATAAGCGCTTCCCTCAAAAGATAGATGCTACTGCTTCCCCAAGAAGTCTGCAAATGAGGCTATTATACTATTTCCCCCATCCATAACAAGCTAATTTTAGTACTACGTTTATATTTCAGGGGAGATTTTGTTCCATCATCATTTAAGCTATATAATTTTTTTATAAATTCACTAATTGGCCATCCCCATTGCACTGTAAGTTCCAGACTTTAAGTGTAAACGTTCCACCATCACATTCACACCACCTACCAACAGGTTGGTCTACAAGATAGACTTAAGGAATGCCTAGTAAACAATCAAGTGTACTTTCACCATTTTTGAAATTGCACAATAATTTTGGGAATGATATATACTTTATACATGTTGCAGAATTACACTGTATTATAATATCAGTTAACTATATCATCTAAAACTTTGCTAAACAGCAATTCCCACATCTGACATTGTCATACATGTACAAGTACGTATCTAATTATAACCAATCAAAACTGCTAGCTGGCAATTTGAGCCATCTGATTGGCTAACCTGCTCGGCCAATAAAAACATCTCATTGACTATTCAAAAATGTCTAAGGCATAGGAGAGGCACTATGTACATATATAGGGGCAACTGCCCTGTCGGTACATGTACATTCGTTATTGCTATCTAATAGAGCTTTCATGCCTGCAACACCTTCAATTATTCTAGTCTCTAGGAAAAGGCAGACTGCATCAGACTAGTACAACTGCTCACACTAATAGTAAGTAGCATAGTTAAGCTGCCTAGAGAGAGTATGATACAGTTTTGATGGTATTTACATTTTCACACCCAGGGCATTTAAATAGTGCTACATGTTTTGTGCTGTGTGCTCAACAGCCTGTCATAGGTTGTGTCGACAAGGCATTTTTTACAGAAAAAGTGCAGGTACAATAGTCCTCTTATTACACTATCAGCATATTAAAGTCCTTTCTGTATTTGTGAAATAAAGCAGCAACAGAATACTACTAGTATTACAACTAGTTTCATGGTGGGAATCAACATGTTTTCCTGCACTGTTGATTTCATTAAGCAAAAAATTATCAGTTAGCCCTGGCTAGTACAGACCACAGTATCTGACTCAGTTTGAACTAAATGTTTTTATAGTCTAAGAATTGTTGGCCTGTAAACAAAACCCGTACTTTACTCTGTTGGTTTAAAGAGTTGAGTCTACTTGACAGGGGACTTGGCTTCTAGCTCCCTCTTCTCCTGGCTCTTAGCTGCTGCTACATAGGAGAACACACAGAGTACTGCATAGCAGATTTCATTTGCCTGCAAATGAAAGGTACAAACATAGTTAATCAATTGAAGTCAAATCTGATTATTTTATTATTTTGGAAGCTCAAATATTCTTATAGTAAGTGGAAGAGAAAATCCTACGAAAAAAGAAAATTGGCTGAGGACACCATTGCAAAGTAGATTGTTGAAGTCAAGAAGAGCGCTATAGGCATATTTCTGTTCAGATCTTTCGTACACTGAAAGTGGTGTGTTATGCCGAATGGCAGTTATAGCGGCTATACAGAAACAGATACAGAAAGTTTATTTAGCAATGTTGTCTTTAGTTAGTAGATTTTTTGGTCCAGTCAAACTATTTTCTTAGCTTTTGTAATTGGTGTATTAAAGCATGAATGTTTCAAAGTTGGAACACCATGGACCCTACTACCAGCAGTGAGCAACTCCCAGCACCAAAACCAGGTACTTCTGAAAAGCCTTAAAGTTTCCAAAACCATGATGATGCACCACAAATAAGACTTAACTATCTAGCTGTTTTTCTTCTTAGTGTGTTTGATTTTTGCCCACTTTGGGACCTTCAGCCAGCAATGGTTGCTGATATGGTGGTCAAAAAGAGGTCCTTGTGGTAAGGGCTGTCCCAAAATTATTTTTTTCAATCTTTACAATGAGTGCAATGTCATTTGCAAAAGATTTTTAATTTTGAGACAGCCTGTACCACATACAGCCTGAGCTGAAAGCTAGCCAGCAAACTTTTGAGTTGAATGTTAGGTTAGTAGATTTTTTTGGTCCACATACATGTAACTGGTAATGCTTCCCACTGCCTGTTTTATCTCCTTGGCCTAAAAAGGGGAAGAGGTGTAGGTATAATTTTAGTTTATTGACTGAATAATTTTTACAAACAAAACTTAAAAAGTGCTAATGTGTGTATAGGCACGACGGGAGTTGCTCAGTGCTGAGTCCAAAGTCAGTTAATAATGTTGCAGTACGTACCATTGCGGATTTGTATTTTCTAACGGTGACTTGTCTTGTCTGGGAATCTGTAAGGTACAAGAAAACATAGCAAGGACATAACAAAATGGTAGATGTAAAGAAGGTAGGGTGTATCCTTAATGTGTGTAAGCAGTATGTACGTGTATGTAAGAGCATTGAGAACTAATTACTTAGTACTTGTACTTGTGAACTAATTAGTACTAAACATTTTCTTCACATAAGCCAATGAAAATATAGTCTTTCTCACACTTTTTGCTTCCTGAATCCTGCAGAAAATTCTTACTCTTTTTGTGTAAGCCTAACCTTAGAAGATACAGAAGAAGCAAGAGAGAGAACTTAGGAAGATTGCATTTGCAAATGGCTAGCCTGGCACCTCTGGAATGTTTGGCTACTAGAAGGGAAGTGACCAGAGCTAGAACAGAGTGCACACCAGAGTGACAACTGTGTTGTTACTCACCAAACTGTTCAAGAACAAACACGCCCTTCTCTGTGTTGCACTTCCGGATGTCCTTCAGTTCAATGAAGGCCTGGAAGGGAGGGGAGAACGCAGTTAGGATCTGGTCAGGAAAACTACCCAATTTTAACAAAAAATAATTTTGTAATTTCGTCTGGCTGACAACATACTAGGATATTGGGATGTTCTTCTACACAACTAAAACTTCTCTCACCTAGCTTACATTTCAATATCTATCAGACACCTAGTACTCTACTGCTTCTTATAAGTCATGTATAAAGCTGTGATGAAGGCCTTCATCAGAGCTTTATACATGACTTATAAGAAGCAGTAGAGTACTCCAGTCAGGAGTTCTGAGAAAGGTGTCTGATATGTAAATGTAAGCAAGGTGCAGTGAGAGAAGTACTGGTTGTGTGTAAGAAATCCCAATCCTACCCTCTTTCAAGTTTCAGAATTTCAACTTGGGAATGAACTTACGGTCATATCATGACTAATTGAAGATGTAGACCATAATACCAAATGAATATAAATCTTAAAGCTGTTTTTTTTTTACAAAAATTTGAATATTTGTTGATCATCTGAAGATTTAATTTTTTCTACTGAATATAAAAATTACACACAAAATTGTCATTCTATAGTCTATACATTAAATAAATTTATTATGTAAAATATGAGGATAGAAACACAATGCACATGCAAATAGTCACTATCATATTGAGAGAGGCAAAGCAACACTATGGTCCACACAACTATGAAGCGTTTCCATGTGACATCATCACTGTGTCTGCCGCCATTTTGGTGTCCCTATTAGCATATCAGTGCTCAAGCATTTAAGGGTCTTCTTACCCTCTCAAATAAAATCTTAGACATAATTTTTGTCAACAGCTCAAAGAAGACAACACCACGAAAATAGAATTTTACAACTCTAAAACTTGATGACAGAACACAAATTAAAATGCCGTGTGCACTTGAGATGCAAGCAATCCATTGACATGCAAATTGGGACACCGGTATGGCGGTCAGCACTTGTCTTCTTCATGGATACAGAAAGTGAGTGAAAACGCTCTACACGAGAAAGAAAAAAAGGTGCGTTGGTTAAGACGGATTATACACTACACACACAATGCAATCACACATAACATTATCACTTCAAAACTTAATATGAGCATGCCAAACCCTGTTAGATAGAGATCACATGCTAGAGGAGATATTGAAGTACATTTAACTAAAGCTGATGTTAAGTGAATGTACAAGGAACTATTCTGTGTTAAGCAATGCAAGGAAGCAGGTTCACTCCACTTGTATGAGCTTGTCAGGGCTGGACAATCCACATTCTAATGTCTAATCAAAATGTATTCTAATTTTCTTAAACTTTTTAAAAGAAAACTATACTGTAATTTTCAGTATCAGAAACCAATTTTTTACGGCACAGGCAGGTTTGACGCTAGGAACCAGCATCAGTAAGAGTTTCATCTATCTACATGCAATGTCTCAGTGGAGGGTTAAACAGAAACAAAATGCACCTGGAGATTCATTGGCAACACCCCCACCCCACCTCTTAAACGCTGAATAATAAATTTTACGAATTCAACAAGTTTTTTTTTTTTGTAGTGGTGGTGGTGCCTGTGGATTATGTTTTGTTTTGTTTTGTTCAGAAATAGTGACTATTTCATTCACGTCTTTTATACAGTCACGTAAATGTCTTTTTACCCAACCTTCCTCACCTACTAGTGTGTTTTTTTTTCCAAATTTCCCACGTGTATACTAGGTTCTTGCTATTGCTATTTAGATTTCTAGCCCTGACGAACCCAGTCCTACTGACACTGTAAGCATGATGGCACGGAATGTACAGTATACCTCCAGCTCCTATAGAAGCATGTTGGGAGAGAAAGGAGAAAGAGGTTAGGGTCTGCAGGGAGGGTGGTGGAGGGGGACTTCACAACGCTAACCCAGCACAGCGGGTCTGCATGGGGTTTTACCACAACCTGAAATTTGTGCTCAAATCTATGGGGTTTTCTTGAGTTTGTGGGGAAAATAACCTCATGCAGACCCTTGGGCTGTTCGTACAGTGCGGTACGGTGAGGGGATGCGGCGATGACATACGAACACCATCTCACAAGGTTTGGCACAGGTGAAGCATGTCCTGTGTGAAATGTGGCCTTTCAGGCTGGCAACATGCAGGCAACATTTAATATGTACATGTAGCAACATTTTGCTACAATTTAACTGTATACAGTCAGGTTTGTTAAACCATGACTCCTTGAAATGTTGCTTTAAAGATGAGTCAAAAGCCCTTATCTTTCTATTCTGTACATTCTTTTGGTCAATAATGCACCATATCAAAATGACATACTACTGGTTATTTCCATGCAATTATATATAATTACTGTCTTCCGTAAGGTAGATAAAACAAATTAATTTTCATTCAGAAAGTCTGCATTTTCTGAAACTTCAGATTTTTTTTTAGAATGCAAACAAGCAAAACAGTAAGACTATGTCATACCCACTGCACCAAGTTCAGGAGAACTAGACATAATCATAGCTCTAGTATTGCTCTAATTCAAAATATAAATCAGCCCTTAAGCCACTACAATGTAGATTTCTGCAGTTTGATACATGCAGCCTGATTGGTCTGATCTGAACAAGATCATAAGTCTTGGTATATCAAGCACTGAACAAGGTAAAATCCGTTACAGTATCGTGTCAACTCAGTTGTTGTGGATGGAAGTGTCAGGATGAGCCATGAAAGGTGGAAGAAACAGAGTGAGTGAGTGAGAGAAAGAGAGAGAAAGAGCGAGAGAGAAAAGCAGAGATGAGAACCCAGGAGACCTGAGGAGAAGCCACGGTCACAAGCAGACTGCAGGAGGACACCCACAACGGTGTGACACCAGACATCAGCCTTTCTTATCTTGAAAACATTGAAGAAACTTCTTGCTCGTTTTGGACCATTTTTGGCTTTTCTACATTGCTTTTACTTTCAGCAGTGCTGTATGTATACAGGAAGCAATCTGCCTGCATCATCAAGTTCTGTTGCTTAAATTTCTTGATTACACTGAGACAGCTTTTGACGACAAGCATCAGTATCAAAATGAGAGGGGCTAGGAATAATTGTATAGCTGTAACATAACAATGGGGATAATTTCCACAATCTAGTTTTTACAGTGTGTTTGAAAGGTGATGTCTGGTACACACAGGCTGCAATGGAATCGATTGTTGTAAAATGTACTAAGCAAGCATGTGGGAGAAAAACATGGAAAAGGAAACAGTTATTCAATGATGCTCACAACTCATGCAGAACAAGTAACAACACCAGGGCTCAAAATTCCTTCCAGTTAGAATGTTGGCAAACTGACTCTTAACGTGTTAAGAAATACAGAAAACGAAATGCTTCCAATGGCCAGCATTACCAAATTTCAATTCTTGACAAATTCTGTCCTAAAACTTGCAATTGCAACACACTGAATGCGATGAAAGAAATGTGAAATTTGGCAATGAAAACAATATTTGGCGCTGTTTCACACTATTTTGTAAATTGTACACAACATACAGTCTTGAAACGAATTGAGTGGTGCTTGTAATCAAAAGTTATCCAGAAATTTGAATGACATACATTTAGTCTATCATATTAAACAGATAAGATGTGTCAAATCTTATATTTGGTGTTTCCTTTCAATCCCTACACAGTGATACATGATTTCTTGATAGAGGCACATATATGTAGTAAATGTCACAACAGTCCTGTGGATCTTTTGCACATGAATTTTGAACCCCAGTGTTTGCATCAAACCATTCTGGCATAGAAGGGTAAATGGAGATAGGGAAATGTATCAATGACATCCTGTATGTCACTTGTACTACAAGTATCCAAAGAAGTCCAAGATTAAGTTACCATTCAGAATAAAAGTCTAGTAGTCATATGGCACCACACAGTAGTATACAGGCACAGTATACATTTGGGATCACACTTTCTTGACACAAAATATTTGAATTATTTCTATTAATTGAATAATTTCTCATCTTGCACAATTTTCTTAGTCATTATTCTATTCATTTTAGGTTATTGACAAAAAAATTGTCACTTCAATCATCTAGCCCTGTACAGATATGTTGCAAAAAAAGAGACACAAAAACTAAAATTTTGAGTGAAGAGGTTGAACCTTCAGGAAAAAAATGTCTGGTTCGCTTCCTGCTTGACAATTACGATGGAAAAACTGCTGATCCACTCTTACCTTAACAGCTGAACGGCCCTTCCCTCGTTATTGCAAGGGAACAAGGAGGAGGGCAGCGTTTTATTTAGAGCACAGGAAACTCACTCAGGAGGACAGACTGTCACTTCACGGCATGATATCTACCTTTTTTTTCTACTGGTGCATGGAAATGATTAAGAGCCCAGAATTTGACTAAATTTGTTTGATCTATGATTCATGACATATCCTCTGCTTTTTCAAAAACAGTACCCAAAAAAAAACTTTTCAAACTAAAATCACTCATCATGATTAAGAGCACTAATTGATTCAGGACTAACAGTTTTTCCTCCATATACCTCTTAAGCTATTATTAAGTTACTGTATATATTCAAGGAAATTGGCATTGTAATTGCACAATTTTCTAAGTTTATAAATCAGATTTTGTGTAAGCCCTAAAAATTGTTGTTGTCTGCATATCATGCCATGAGACAATCTGAACCTCCTTATAACCCTGCATATCAACTGTTTTAAATCATTTAGAGCCAGTCGGTTGAGCAGTTTTGGCGACTGGTACCAACTTCACTTCGTAGGCTTCAAGTGCAATCCAGCCACCATGTACCCCTCTTTGCCAACACATGTCATGACACTAGGTACCGACTACAGACCTTTCTATGTACCCTCCAGTTTTGGGCAACGAATATCTGGTGGAAGTGCAGAGAAATGCAGTCCCTTAGAACTTAGCAGACAGCAGAAATAAGGTGAAGCTAGAAGGGTAAAGCTCTTCAACATTTCACTGAGTCCCTCTAGTCCAGATGAGTGTAAAAATAGGTAAAAACACAAATCTACACAATCATTCAATAGCTTCAAACTCTTTGCAAAATGGTCAGTAATTTTGCCTGGCTTGTTCAAAATGCTTGCAACAAATTTTCGTTCATAACATGTTGATGGTATAACAGCTCCAAATGTTCGTGTTGATTTTATAGGTTTTCCTGGAATATTTGCAGTACACTAGGGTATAGGTCTGCCTATCTCGCACTTCTCTTCATTATATAATCTCTTCCTGTTATGATTGAAGTACATGTAAGTTTCATTGTCACCTAGGTGTATATACACTGTAATTCCAACTAAACTTCAAAAGTGTGGTAATTGTAAAGTAACAACAAGTTGAAGAATTTTGGATGAACTGACAATTAAGACAAAAAATAAGAAACTAGACTGGTATTACCAACAATTTAACAGGTAGGGTGCATAAAGCACTTAATTTTTTCCACTCTTTTTGCAGTTCAGTTGGATTACATGTAGCAATTATACACAAAATAAACAGAATGCCTCATCTTGCTGCTGCACAGGAACAATGCATCAAGGCAAACACACAACACCAATGGCTCACAATCATCAGCTTGTAATGAGTAAAGCAACCAAAATCTAAAACATACGTCATGTTTATTACAACATTTTTTGCTAATTAATACCTGATATCCTTGTAATTCAATTTTCAAACACACATTCTGATAATTATATATCTATATATCATAATGTATCTACATGACTTGCTATATCATTACTAATTAGTCACATCAGTGAAAAGTTAACAGCACAATAATTTCTCTTCATACGCCTTGCTAACACTAGGTAGGATTGTAAGACAGCATTGAACGCACCTGGGTGTGAATGAACTTGAGGTTGATTCCCTCGAGCGTGACTTGTAGGAGGCCCCCCTCCCCCGTCTGCATGTCCTGGATAGGAAACTCTCCTCCCAGCTCTGGACCTGCACCAAGAGTTTCCCAAAACAACTTCATCAGGTCGGTAGAACATGCATGTCGGATATTGTGAGGAAGGTGTCTGATAGCAAGGTAAGTCTTGTTGTGTACCATCCAATTATTCTGATGAAGAACCTCATCTGGTTGGTGGATGACTGAATAGCATTGAAGTTCTTGATTCACAACCACTTGACTGTTAACATTAAAAGCCAACTTTTTGATGACCATCTGTCATGATCATAAGGGCAACAACAAGCACCCTATTACCACCGCAAAACCACTTTAAGGATCCCTGCAAAGTCTTTAGTAAGTTATCTGAGTATAAAAATGTATCTGCTATGCAGAACTCTGACTTTTAGTTGCTGTTTTGAAGCAAAGTCCCCTTGTTCCCATTAGGAATGAGCCCACCACCAGGTTACAAATTAACTGCTGTGAGCTGTAACTGACCATCCTTGTTCCTTCCATGTACATCTTCCATGGGTAGCTCTCCTATCAGCCTGGATAGAAGGCTGTACCCTAAACATGCCAAGTTTGTTGGTCAGTCACTCATTGTCTTTTTCCCAGTAGTCAATCAAAAACAAGGCTGATTTTCTGCATTAATTTTGCTAAATGCAGTTTCAGATTATACTAGATTAAAGGTCCTTCTTTAATTGCGCAAATATCAAATTCTGCATTATGGGTTGCAGAATTCGGCAGTCAAATGCTCAATTCTGCAGAACTAGACCTAGTCTCATGGGACTTGCCAATGCCACCTATTGTAATTTCCATCATGATCATGCTATAGATAACCCATATTCTAGATTATCAAGTTTCTTTCAGGATTTAGACTGTTTTTCCAGATTTATAGCCACTGTGTCACCTTTTGGGCATATTTTTTGTCCTAAATTTAAAAAAATCTAACTGCTGCAGTGTCACCTTCTGTTGTTCCAGAAGTCATGTAACACTTACCCAAGTTGTGTCCAATTTGAGGCAAGAAACAATGAATGGAGTGAAGTTATTTCTCCTCTCAAGAACTGTTACAGATTTAGTGGATTAGTCAGAAAGACACCGAAGGGTTTCAGGTTTATAAGTGCAAGGAGATAGGTAAGGTTACTACTATTCATTTTGTTATCTGCTCAACTGTTCTCGTTTTTGTTTGTGCAAATGTCTCCAAATTACTGATGAAACTGTTAGTACCTGAGTGAGTATTACAATTAGCCACCCTCCTGATAGTTTCCATGTTACCCCGTGATTGTTAGTGTCCTGGACAGATTTAGACTACTTTAAATTTACATATAGTAGTAGGCACACTTAAATTCGTAAGAGAATTACTTTCAACAGTTATATTCAATTTGGATGGGGCTAGTATGGGAGATTTGTCTAGGTACTGATTAAAGTTGAGGTTATGAAATCTCATTCATGAAGGAGTGTGAGTGTGGATGAAACTTTAGAGAATGTACAGGTCAAAATTGTGTTCTGAAAATGGATTGCATGCAGTTACCTAAAATGGAAAACGAATGAAAAGAACTAACAGTAACTACATTATTTTTTTGTTTGCATCTACTTCATACATTGTATATTGGCAAATGACAGCAGTAATAATTTACTTTGACTTTCAGGCAGCATGGCTGATTTTGAAAGTCAACAATAATTACATTGTTGACTTTCAAAATTTTAGTCGATCTCCAAATGTTAAATTACGTCAGATACAAGTCATGTACTATGTTACAAGAAGGCCAGAATTCCTTGATACATTTTCATTTTCTGCTTAGGCCACACCAATTTAATTTGTTGGTTCTTGGATTTTTTCAGAAAAAATATGAAGCGACAGGGCGAAAAAAAAATAAAAATAAAAACAGGTCTAGGCATCCTCTTATAGCCCCAAATGCTACAATATGAGCCATGAAGTCAACAAAAAAGGCTGGGTTGAAATTTAAAGCATAAATTTTGAACTTTTAATCAAACCACTGCATTGATAGATGGAAAAAACTGTAACAACTAGGAAGAAAAGGAATTTCCTCAACTGTTGGCGGCAAAATATGAGCATTTTTGAGTTGATTCAGAACCAGAATCTTTTTTATTTTTTTTTCAAATCAGAAAAAAAATGAAGAGGCGAATCCGAGAACCAACAAATTAAATTGGTGTGGCCTTAGTCACATTTCTGGAATTAACAGCAGGTCTCACAATTCATGTGTAGTTACACATGATCCATATAGTGCGTGTAAATGTAAGGAAAGGAAAGGATAATCAAGAAGGGAACATAAAGAACAGATCCTTACCTGGCTTCTTCCCATTCTGCTTGGCAGCAGCCTTCTCCATACTGTCCTTCACACAGAAGTAAAGCTCCTTGCACTGTGGGCAGAAGGGGGAGGAGGGTATTCAATACACTCTTTTTGTCGTATTGCACAAGTCCTGTATGGCTACCTTTCCTCTAGAAGGCAAATATTGCTGATTGACCATAATATTATGAATATCGCCTCCTTCAGTCAATATTGACCATGGCAAAATAATAATTGTTAACATCCCTACAGCTTCAGCTATGGCAGAATAGTTATGATGAAGATGACAGTCTCTGCCACATAGGGCACATCTGTAAGCTGGCTCAGGTCTATTCCCCGTTGTTAGTTTAAACATATTGCAGCATAAAATTAAAAACTGCCAGGATTGTGTGACAAACCTTCTTGGTGTAGAACTTGTTGAGCTGTGTCTGGTTGTCCTTCTTCCTCCAGAGACACAGCACCTTGGTCTTGGGGCAGTAGGTCATGTTGATGAGTTTCTCGTACCACCACCTCTCCTGGATCTGTCCATTCCCAGTCCTCAGCACAATCGCATCATCACACACCTAGTGAAAAAGAGTCCGAGATATCTTAGGTTAACTTTTGCACAGTTTCCTCAAAAAAGCTCTACATGAGTCTGTGTTTGAGTTTATTCGGATCCACACTTGTCATACATATAAAGTTGCTATTCTTCCTGTGGAATGCCATGAACAATTCATGGCATCATCACACACCTAGTGAAGATGAGTCTGTGATATCTTAACTTTAATTTGCCCTGACATACCAGCTAAAGTTTCCTCTGTCAAAAAAGCTCTATATTCATCATGCCATAAACAATTTTAGGCATCAACACACATGTAGACAGTGAAGGAGAGATGTTCTGACTTTTTTTACATTTAAAGCCTTCTCTCGCTATATTGAGAGCACACAGGCATAGCATACACATATAAAAACACTTAAGATCCTTACCTCCATGAAGAGTAGGTCTCCCCGTGTGTCTGTGCCTGCATGGACCACAAACGTCTGTTTCCTCATGTATCTGCTGCTGTAGGGCTTCAGGTCAATGTCATTTCCGTGCTGTAATGAAAATAAACGCATATATATCATTAATGTATACTTAACCTTCTTCCTGATGTCTAACCCAGGAAAATATAAAATTGGTATCAAACAGCTTCCTTAGCAGGCTGAAGGTAAAAAGTTTTTATGATCACAAAATTTCTATGCCCTGTGCTTTGCAGTTTGCTCATACAAATACAAAGTGTCACTGGGTCACTCTATTGACAAAGACCAAAGTGACTGGTTGAAAGCTCTAAGTGAGAACAATTATCTTGTGTTGGAAAAATATCTTAATTTTAACTTAAAACATTACTACCAACACAGATGAACTTTCAGACCATCTAAACTTCTAAGACTTTCATCTGCACAGCAAGCAAACAGTGCTTTCCCCTCACCAGGTTGTTGATCTGGTCCAACACGTCCATGATGTCCTGACTGTACAGCAGCCCGATGTGAGACTTTCCCAGCAGCCTCCTCACCTTCCTGCGACACTCGTTCTTACTCACCTGAACAACAGATGGTTTATAATGAAGATTAGACATCCAGGTAATAACTTAAGTGTTTTCAGCACCAAGGACAGGGATAGTGTTTTCAGTACCAGGGACAGGGATTGTGTTTTCAGCACCAAGGGCAGGGACAATGTTTTCAGCACCAAGGACAATGATAGTGTTTTCAGCACCAAGGACAATGATAGTGTTTTCAGTACCAGGGATAGTGTTTTCAGTTCCAGGGACAGGGATAGTGATAGTGTTTTCAGCACCAGGGACAGGGATAGTGTTTTCAGTACCAGGGACAGGGATAGTGATAGTGTTTTCAGCACCAAGGACAGGGAAGGGCAGGGATAGTTTTCAGCACCAAGGGCAGGGATGGTGTTTTCAGCACTAGGGACAGGGATAGTGTTTTCAGCACCAGGGACAGTGAAGATCTGTGATACAGACCTGCATGGAGACCATGTAGGCCACCAGGTTGAACAACTGGGTTGACAGGAGTTTGTCCTCATCTTCCTCCAGACGTTTTCTGTCCTCAGCACTCATGGCCTTGTACCTGAGGAGATATGCATGAAGGTATTGAATAACTGTTAACCTTATAAATAAGCACAAGGAAGTTGTCATTTGACTACCAATTATCTATTGGTTATGGGGTTAGGCAAATTCAGTTGCCTAACCCTCAGTTCAAATGCTGAAATGAAGTTACAAAATCGAACTTGAATTCAGGATGACCAATGGCTGAAACATCTTAATATAATATGAGCTGACTTAAGCAGCTTTTATCTTTTTCAGTTGTGCCAGCTAGTCGTATCTGCAGCTTAAACATTGTACCTGTAGTAGTTGTACAACTGTACTACCAGTTCTATCAACTACATGTATGCTAATGTTAGCCACAGGTGTCTGTCTAGAATGTCAATCTCCGCAAAACACATGTTATGTCACCAAAAAATTTTACAGAACCAATTCAAAGCGAGCACCCCTTACATGATCCCCCTTCCCATGTGTCATGAGTCTTCCACCAAATAAAATTTGATACGCAAACTAAAGAAGATCTCATATACTGACCTGTCAATCATGTCAGCTGGTGCCTGGTCCATGCCCACCAGCTCCCTCTCCTGTGCCACCAGGTCCAGGAAGCCGTCCTCCCAGAACTGCATGTTCTCCCACAGCTGGGAACGCTCCTTTCCTGAAACGCACGGCCGTCAAACCGGTTGCCATGACAATAAACACTTGTGCCAGACAGGATGATGATGATGAAAACAAGCTGCCGTTTATGTATGATATCTTATGTTTGGAGCCAAGATTGAAATTTGAAACATATGAAACTGCCAGGAATTTCATGCTAACTGAATTAACCATAAGTAAAGGTGAACAACTGTATGCTCCATGTGTTTTTTTCCTCGACATAATCAAAGCTTAAGTTGTAGTGACTTAAAATACCTTTTCTCAACAACATGCAATTTATTTGCCAATTTTCTTTCAAAGAACAATCTTGGCTCCAGGCCATCTCATCAGGTACAACAACATGCCAGTCAATGTAGGACATGCATTTGGTGTATAAATACACACACGTAGAACCATTCCATAGTATAGCCAATGGCTTCTTGACTGAGTGCATTCCAAACCTTGCATGCTCAGAGTCTGATGCTGACAGTGACTCTTGCATTACTCAGGTGAGGTGAGGATCGTTACACAGGAACGACGTTCAACACAGCCTCTACAATCTACTTAACACGTTGGCAGAACGTACTGCACCTACACAAAACCTGGGTTTTTCACAATTCTTGTCAGATTTTTTTCAGAATTTTGCCTGTTGCAGAAAATATCTTTTCCTGCATAACATTTGGAAACTATAGACAGGATGTTAACCTTATATGTGCAGATACGACCTTATATGAGACATTTTGCCAAAGTGCTGTGCACAATACATTACGGCTTTTGTAGGTGCAGTATGTTCTGCCGACGTGCTAATCTACCACAACGACGTGGACAGTCGATCCATATAGTACACACAACTGTATATTATCATACAAGTGAGCCTGTATGTCACACTGATGTAAACTATTTACCATTGCCCCACACAGTCTGTGTGACTGTTTGCTGTATGTCTGACACAGCGGTTATGCCTGTCATGCCAACCGACTTGACAAAAGGCACTAGGAAACACAATACACAACATCAAACACACTGCAGGTTACGCCACACCCATGCAGTCACTCGCTTCCCAGATTTCGTTTCATGGGGATAAAACAGTGTTAGAGAATGAAGGGGACACAAGCTTAAGGAGAAATCTCAAAATTAGTTTTTCCTATAATCACCTAAAATGCCTTAAAAATGAAATTGTGTGACTCAAAATTTGAATTGGAATCATTCAGTTACAGGAGGTTTAGAAGAATCAAGTTAAACATAACAAAGGGAAATGAGAATAAAAGTTCTTTTTTCATACATAAAGGGAAATCTCCGTTATTAATACTTTATGGCAGTTTATACTTTCAAAAAAATCAGTGACCCGAAATCTGTGAACCAAGTAAAAGTATCGGTGTGGCCACAGCAAAATTTTGCTAAACCCCAACTTAATATTCAGCCTGCTGTCATGCTTTAAACGTTAGCAAAATCAGGAAACAGCCAGATCCCCAAAAAGCAGTCCTATAAAAATTCAACACTCCATTCATGCATGTCTATAGATTAATAATATTAACGTACAACAAGCTCTAGTACTCAAATGACCTTTGAAGTCATAAGTAACACAGACAATGCCTCTTGATGACTTTTGGTAGTTTCAGTCTGGTATATTCCTTTTTACCTTCAACAAAATCAACTTTGCTGTTACTTTTCAGTACTTGTAATATAAAGGACCTGCACTTCATTGACAGTGCACCTCTGTGTCATTCACAGGGGTGGGATCATCAACACAGTCAAATAACCCTTGAAATAAGCAAGCCATCAAAAGGCACTAGTACTATCTGTGCATCTTTGAATGCCAAGTTTCAGAATTCTGCAGCACAACACTGGACTCAGTGCACAAGACAAGCAGCAGTATGCACAACGTATGAGAACAGACACCACAGACTGCAACCAGACAATGCCAGACTGAGTGTGGAAAGTAAAATGAAGACTGCAGGGGGATGGATCATGCAACAACTGACAATGTTAACATTGACTGCACAAGGATATACAAATTTACAGGATGAGCAAGCCTGAAAGTTAATTAGCAAAGACTGAAAACTTTCAGGATTTGGGACAACAACAAGAGATTTTCAACATGCTTCATTTTGTACAACATACATGACTTTTTTATAGGAAAATTGAGAAGAAAATTACTATTAAGCATCCTCAATAGTACTGAGAAGGCCAACACCAAAAGTCTTGTGAAATGAACTGAGACCCCTACTAACTTTTAACGCAGACTACAAAAATCTGCAAACATGAGAATATTTTCAGGTGTATCAAACTACACACAAATACAATACAGTACATGTATGAAGGATGAAATCAACATCCATTGAATTTGAAGTTAGAACAAGCTGGGGTGATAAGTCCATGATAAGAAACAAAACAAAGAAGACTGGTTAAAAGACTGGAGAACATGCTGGTTACGCTCCGGCATTAGTGGAAGGATTAATGGAAAACACCTAGCTTAGAACACCCCTACGATCGAACAGTGGTACAGACAACACAGCACACCACACAAGGACTGTACCATCAGGGGTGAGGATCGTGGGGGTGGAAATTTCACTGTCTTCATCCCAGAACGGAATCTGGTCCCAGATGCTGGTACGTTCCAGGCCTACGTTTTAAGTGTTGAATGGAAGGCATGCAGGGGAAGACAGAGAAGAAACACACACAAAAAATGGGTTAGGCCACACAGATTAGATCTTGTGATTACCACAAACTTTCATAACATCTTTCTCACAACATTAGAAGACTGTAAGCTCCTATAATCAAATTGAAGACATTCAAAGCTGTTTATACTGATGGCCAATGCTGGCATCTTTTGCCATCCCACCTATACCAATTTTGTTTTGAGAAAGCCAACACACTTTACTTCTTTCATGTTAAGAACTGTTATCTACCTGCAGCTGGGGGTCTCTCTATAAAGTTTCATTCCTAACATTTGTGGGGAAATAAGGTACCTAAAACACTGGACTGAACCAAAAGCATATATGACTCATAGTATAATATTATGAAGCTTGAAAATGACAACATAAAGGTACGAAGCAGAATGTAGACAAGGCACTGTGCAGGGAACAATACAACATTCAGACAAACTTAGTCTAACAAATGACCATAAAGCACATGAATTAAAAGAAGGAGGAACCAAGTAACCAACATCCAGGGAAACTATATGCAAACCAAAGCACCAAGAAAGAAAACTGTTTAGATCAGTAACTGAAACTTAAGTATCCTGTAATTGTACTAATCAGTACAAGACTAATACATTATGACTTAATCTAATACAAACAATGCATATAATTTTTTATTTATTATCATTAACTGGGCATAATCTGCTGAATGTAGAAATACAACTAATTTTGAATATCAATAACCATAGAGTATGAAAGACTGTTACAGTAAAAAGTAACAAAATGATGTAATACCAGATCATCAAAAAGTAATCATAATACCATGCAAGTACTTGCTTCAACTTATAAAGCAATGCTTATTATAATAACTAACATTCAACATTGACACAATGTCAAGTAATAATTTCTGTATCCTAGTCCTCAGAATGGTTTATCTAATAATAAGCCATATCCTTTTCATCACCTTCCACTCTGGTAGTTAGCATACATGTACATTTTGTACATGTGCAAGACTTAAGTGCACATTCACTAAATATCACTAAATTCTCACACTGTCAGTAAGATACACAGCACTAACAAATAACTTTCTGCATATGTAAGTACTCATTCACAAATATGTACTACATACATGTTGTATTCTCACATTGTCAGTGAGATATACAATAAACTCTAAGAAACAACCCATACCTATAAGTCCCTCAAAGATGTAATGCCTCTCGATGCCGTCCTGAGTGGATCCTGCTGTGCTGATGAGATGACCGTTCCTGTAGCGGAAGCCTTTACTGAGAGTACTCTTACTGTGCCACGTGGTGGTGGGGGCTCTGCGACCAGGGGACATTTGCTGCAAACACAGAATAGTTGTAAACAATAGTTAAATTCCTTAGAAATGCTTTTTTGAAAGAGTTTCAAAATTATGCCAGATACATTGGGAGTCAATTTAAAATTCCTTTGGATGGCTTTTTTGAAATACCTACTATATAATTACATGTATGCCAGATGTACCAGAGGTCATTTGAAACAATTAATATGGTTAAAATCAGTGAAGGACATCTAGTCTCAATTGCTTTCAATTATTCAACCTTTTTTCATTTTTAAATTTCCAATTTTCCCATTGTATGGAATCATGTTCTTCCCTTTTTAGCTGAGAAGCATTTTGCATGACATGCAAGATGCATATGCCTTACCCTGCATTTTCTTATATCTTTTTTATTATCATGGCTATTTCTAACAAAGTTTCCCTGTCATCAGTGCTTACCCCCCCAGTTCTCTCGATCTCGCTGTCTGACACGGCTGCCCGGATGGAGTGGTGGTTGATTCTCTGTGGCCACAGGTTCTCATTGCTGGCCGTGCTGTAGTCACTGTCATTAGCAAGAGTCTCCGAACTGTGGGCACAGCAATCATCATTATAGAAACATAATACATTTGAATAATCACCTCCGGAAAACAGTTTATAGTGTTTTTATGGCTTCACCACTATGTGGTGAAGACATATTGTTACCTCCATGAAAAATGGAGGTATTGTTTTTGTCCTGTCTGTGTGTCTGTGTGTGTGTGTGTGTTTGTGTTTCCACACATTTGTAGTCATTTGCATAATTAATTAGCACATGCTAATATGAAATAATGGCAAAGGATAGGAAGTCGTCACCCAAAATATTGTAATTTGAGTTAAGAAAACCATAAATTAAACTGTTAATTACATCCTTACTTCCATGTACAATGAGAGAAATCCCCCAATAACAATTTTACATATTTCATGGATTTATGAGATCTCCGAATTCTTGTTTTTATGTCTTCACCACTATGTGGTGAAGACATATTGTTTTTACGTCCATTAAAAAATGGAGGTATTGTTTTTGGTGTGTCTGTGTGTCTGTCTGTCTGTGTGTCTGTCTGTCTGAGTGTGTGTTTGTGTTTGTGTTTGTGTTTCCGCACATTTGTAGTCAGCATAACTTCATTGTGATGATATTTGGTATGCTGGTAAGTCTTTGGAAGACGAAGGTCAAGGTCAAACATGGGCCTTCTGGTGGATGATCTTTTGTCCTGAACATGCTATGGTCTTGACTTTTTGGTGACAGAGGTTTTCCTTAGACACACACACACACACACACACACACACACACACACACGCCAAAAACAATAGCTCCATTTTTCATGGTGGTAAGTAGATTATGCTAATTACAACCTTATTTCCATAGTCAATGAGACAAATAAAAAAGAATTTACGAAAGCTCAGATATTGTATGGAGGTATGAGATCTTTGAATTCTTGTTCCTCCTGTTTCTTCTTCTACTCCTTCTCCTTCTCCTTCTTCTCCTCCTGTCATTTCTTTAAAAGGATTCAATTTCTTCATTTTTGGGCAAAATAACACAAAATTTGGCATGAAGGTAGAGTCTTTGAAGTTACAAACCAAATTCATCATTATTTTTCATTCTTCCACTTCATACAAGTCATAGTTAAAGGCATTAACTTTAAGCCATGACAAAAACAAATGACACACATGTCGGTAGAGTTTTTATAGCAAAGCTTACCTGTTGCTAACAAGAGTGCTGGACTCTGACACTGTATCAGAGTCAACACTGTTGTTTTTGTTCATTTTTCTCCTCTGTTTGATGTAAAGAAGGTCTTCTGCTGACTTGATGTCTTCATCAATGCCCTCTGTTAGAAAAATAATTTAAAAACACAATCTTATAAAACCATCATCAAATCATAATAGTTAAAATTAGGACTATTTTGAAAATCCTTCCAAAAAGTGTAGTGAATGAATTCTTAAGCATTTTTCTTCAACGTGTTGAATGCTTATTTTGTCCATCTTAGATTTGTTATGACTGACTGTCAAGTGTTTCTTGTATGATGTATGATTGTCAAAGATCAATTATAAAATATGTATCTGACCAGTGCAGGTAAAATTTGTCTGGTGCAAGTAATTTTCAATGTCACCTGTGCCAGGGCAGGTATGCAGGAAAAAGGATTTCAATCCCTGACTGCACGTCCATGGTATTCTTCAGAAACAGTACCATAATGATTGCAATGTAAATGCATACCATTAACCTTCACATATGGTCTGCTATGTTTAACTTAATTCTTACTCAGACACATTCATATATTATGGTCAGACATGCAGAAGAAACGGAGCAAAAACAATATATTTTCCTTCGATAAACATACTAATATCTCTGTAATTTGAGCTACGTTGCCGGCCTGACCTACCTGCCCCTTCTATGATGCTCTCCCTGTCCGACTCCTTGTCCTCACCAGATGTTGTCGACCCCTCAGGTTTTTCAACAACCTCAAAACCGTCACTCCCTGAAAATCATACAGGCTGGATTAATGTCACAGGAGGATACACAGCTGACATGTGCAATCATGTAGATACATACATTCACATTTGCTCTGTATTTAAAAATACACAGCTAATAGTATATACCTAAACATGCTTAGCCTAGTGAATTTCAAGGGCAAAATACTGAATGGCTGTCCATATCTCAGAGCTAGAACGGATGCTGACTTCATTTTCATGGAATACAATTATACCGGTATCATCTAATTAAGAAATTGAGATGCAAAAGGTCTGTATTTGAGAAGACCAACACACAATCTTAGAGAACTGATTCTCAAATTGTCAATATATCTGACAGAGTGTACCTGATAGTCCCATAGAGGGGGACAATAGATTTTTCAATCTTTAAGTTTTACTTAGTAAACTTAAAGATAAGTAACATATCTGACAAAAAAAGGTTCATTTTAAAAGTGTAACATACCATAAGTGTGCATCAGTTCTGATTTATTTGTAAAGTAGAGATATTATAGCTGACAGTCAAATGCCAGCTTATGATCATATCATTATGAATACAGCAATGTTAGAAGGGCATCATGGAGTAATGAATTAAATCAATAAGATCACATGGCACTAATGTGGAGCATTTTCCTTCCCTCATGAATAAAGCAATGGATGTACCAATGACACAATGCTAGATGAACAACAGGATACATGAATGCACTTACACAGAGGTTTAGAATTACCAAGTACACAAACTTTGACAGTAAAAGGCCAGACTGCCTACTTCATTCCATTCTTCCTCCAGCACCTAACGTCATAATATATAGTACAGTCAAACTTGCCCAAACGACCATCTCTATAAGCCTGGCCATAGTGACCGCTTTTCTCGGTCCCTGAGTGGTTGTGTTAGGTACGTTTGACTGTTACAGTAGTAACAACTGACGACGATCCAGGCTGAATCAACAACTGCACAACAGCAACAATTTCAGCACCTCGGACTCACTTTCTACCAGTATGCACTCTTTCTCATGGCTACTGTTATCATCCCATGGTGTATATTAGTAGTAAACAAGCTAATCTAAGGGTAACTCATTGTATGAGCAATGTACAATGTATCATTACATTCACAATATGAAAAACTACACGTACAGTAACTGCTACCAACAGATTAATGTTATCCTCCCTACACCATTTTGAGCAGAGACAGCTTCAATGCATGGCTACCTCACTTACCTTTGCTTACTACATACAATCATCACAGCACACCACAGTGTACAAGTCTCCCATCCATAGGCTGGTTATCCGATGTACAATAATTTACAACATTCAAAACAATTACACTGTCATGCAACATGCACAGGCAGTTCAATACAGCGTAACAATATTATTAATTAGAAGTACATGTATTTGATTAGTTTCTGTCCAAATTTCTGTCCACTTACCTGGTTTATACCGGTAAGTGGCAGTCCAGACTGGGTTACGGGAAGCGCGAGAGGACGCTCCCCAATATATGGTTGTTTCGTCATCAGACTTTTCCCCCTTAGAGACGCCTTTCAACAAACTACCGACGACGGAAGAAGCTGTCTTAGGTATCCAGGAGCTGCCCCACAGGACTGATTCGGGGAGCCAATGGTCAAGAGTTGGGAGGGAAATGCTGGGCAGTGGAATGAAGGTGGGGGATTCCAAAGCTACAGGTACCAGCGAGAAACAACATTCAATAGTGGAGGAATTTGAAGTTGGATTTCTGTGTTAGCTTAACCAGTTTTGGAATTTAGGTTGCCGCGTCCTCATATTTCTGTCTTCCTTCTTGCAAAAATATGAACACATCACAGGAATTGGTAGGATTAAGAAAATTTCCAACTTTAAAGTTATTCAGGATATAAGAAACATAAGCAGAGACCTGAAAGAATATTCAAGTCAATCTCTTTTCAGCATCTGTCACAATGATAGACTGCAGAAAGGGGTTATTCCATTTAGATGCGACAGTTTGAAATCAACAAAATCACAACTTTGGGACCCTCCACCAACAACCTTGAGCTGTTCCTTTACCCCAGACAATTATAGTGTTGTGAGAGTGGGTAAAAGACAAGACAGACTGGACCAATCAGGGGTCTTTGCAGATATAGAAAGATCAGTGACGAAAACTTGGGCATTGATGTCTCCATAGTTGGCGTGCTGTTGTATTGGCATCTGTGTCTTTGTAGCATTTATCAGCAAAACAAATCAACACTGGTTTGGATTGCCATCATGAGAGATTGTTATGTTGTAATGTGCACAAGGGATGCTGCTGCAAATGTTCAGACCAGATATTTGAGATGTACACGTTTGCAACTAATTTCTAAAAGAAGAAAATTTTGGAAGTACAAACCTTCGTCATAGCTGGTGACCAAATTTGGCAGGATCTGAACTCACTACTTTCCAGGCATGGCAGGGAACGGTTAGTGGCAGCTTTAAGAACCTCACCTACTTACCTTGTTACCCACCACCACTGAAGGTACTGTTACAGTAGCAAACATACACCGAGTCTAGCTTAAACTGTGAGTTAGTGGTGGCCTTACAAGCAATATCATACATAAAGCATAATGATAATAGGAGAGAAATATGTATAAGCCCGGTTCAATCTAGAGCCACCCAGTCCCATTTGCCCATGCTTGAAGATGTTATACAAAGTTAACAGGTGGCTTAGAGATGGACTGTGTCTATTTGAGAATTCTTGTCTTTCAAAATCGTGAATCAGTATCTCAAATACGTGGCACAAAGCACATATTTGAGATGGACAGATCACAAGTTTGAACGGTTCAAAGTTCGGCATAGTCCATCTCAAAAGGTATTAGCAAAGACCCTCCCTTATACCCTGGCATATTGTGCAGTTTACTTTCTACAGCTACAGTGTCCCACACTCACAGTAATTGCCTGTCCATAGGTGCCAAGCCATTTTCAGAAACTTTCTTTTTCCTGTTCAAGAAAAAACATGTACCAGTTATAAGAGACTTGGAGGCAGACTTGTTACTTTACTACTACCACAATCATGTGTCAGACATCCCACCATTGTTAGAACATAGGATACAATGTTATGTGATGACTTGGCAACAGGACAGACAACTACCAGTGATTACAAGTGTAGGCCCACAGAATCCGTCCACCACACAGGCACCAATTAGGGATGCACAGGCCACCCCACAGGTCCTCTCACCTTCCTTCCCAGAATTCCCCTCCATGCCTTTGATTTCATCGTTACGTTTTTCTTTGTTCTTGCGTGATTGCTCGTACGCAGCACGCCATTCTAGCCCGTAGAATTGGAGCAAGGGTGGGAAAGAGAGGAAAGAGAAAGAGCATGAGATAGAAGGGGTTAAACATGCTGAATGGCACACACAATACGGCGATGTCTGTATGGAGCCTGTACTTGGACATGGGCATCTCAATGAAGAAACTTTCAAGTCATTTCCACTCAATGTAAGAAGAATTTTCGTATGGCAAAATCTTCTAAAGGTAAAGTTCATTTTCATGTAGAAAGATGTGGAAAATATAACCTAAACTGCATTGAGAATTTTGTGCTTAAAGTTTTTCACTGAATCACTGTTCAATTTTGAATGATCAACAGTTACTGATTTTTCTTAAAAATGTTTACTTCCAAATGTTTCTGCTAGAAAAAAAAGTACACTTATTGTTTCTATCACATACAGACATCACCATTGTGGGGAGTTATGCACATATGGTTAACAAATGGTTATATGCTTTTTTTCGACATGTGGAATGCAGGCTGCACACCACAGGGACAACAGAATGGTTAGCTTCACATGGGGATGGGATGTCAGAGTGGAGGAGAAATGGTAGGGTGCCCAGCTGACAGGACAATAATACACACACATGGACATTATGACAGAGGCTTTCCGTAAACAACACAATACAAAACACAAAACCTTACAGCAAATTAAAGGAACTCACTTAGAGAAGCAACACAACAAAGATGTTTTAGACTCATTTAACAAAACAGAACAACACAAATATGAATGAATTGTCTGTGTGGAAAAAGATTTAGTTCCCCATGCATCACAATTTACTGTTTCTACCACCACCCTACAGGAGGCTTTCCTTGACAAACACCTTTCAATTAGGCCAGCATCATGCAGTTTCCACAACCAAGGCAAGAACAAGAAAACTACCGGCAAGAGTAAATGAGTAAAAATGTGAAGCAACAAAGTTAGTGTTTAAGTAATGGGGAGGGGAAGACCACCAAAAAGTAGTTTTGTCCAAAGAAATGACATCGTGTAAATGTGTCTGAATTCACTGCATTGCATAACATTAAAAGCATGACGGAAGATTTTAAGACAGCTACTGTCTATATTAGACTAGCTTCACAACCATCACCCAAGCTACCACCACTACAGACTACCATGCCACTACCACTTCTAACTTCTACCACAGTACCACTCTACCACCACCACCTACATTGTACTCCACCTGTGGAATAATCTACCATGAACACCCCCATCTTCAAGTCAAGTAGCCTGTTCCTCAATGATAGGCATTGCTGGACTAGGCCTGACCCATTTCAAAAGTAGGGATGTTCAAGGTAGGAGGCGTTGAAAGTAAAACAGCAAGAAGTGCCATGCAAGAGGAGTGCAGGTTCTAGAATAGTACCAATATTACACCAAGAGCCTTGAAGTTCATTACACCACCAGCACTGTTGGCTAAAACAAAAATTCCCTTCATACAAATTCAAATCCAAGACAAGCAAAGACAAGGTTTCTATAATAATTTCAAATGTACTGTTTTAAGTTAAGTCATGTTAGCATCTTTTCTAAAAAAAGTGCATAATACTGTACTTTTAAGAGCCATACAAATCGTTAAAAAATGAAAAAAGAAACTTTGTCTTTTAATGGGTTATGGTTTAAGTTAGAGAACTCATTTTTCTGGGCAAAACAGCAATCAGGCAGATAAGGCAAGTTTTGATGTACTGCTGTAACAATATTCTAAAAAATCATCATAACATTTCTATCTGAAATCAATGCTTACATCTGACTCAAAAAATTTCAAAAATGTCCCACATTTTACCAGATTCATCTGTGATGGCACAGAAACCGTTAAGGAAGCATTTTCAATTTCAAAAACCTGGCAGAGACATACTGTATGCCCAGAAAACAGGTCCTAGCCAGTGTACGTCCACCTGCCAGCATGCCTGTCTCACCTAGAGCTGCGACCATGTTCTCCTCATCCAGACTCCTGGTGTCGTAGTTCTTCCTCCTCCTGCTCCCCTTGTCTTCATCTTTATCAAAGTCTTCTTTCCTCTTTGGCAGCTGAGGGACCTCCTAAAGATACAAAATATTTTGATTTAAGTTTTTTTTCTATCATGTACTAATGTAAACAATAGCCTGGATTGTAACACTCCTGGCTAATCATTGGTTTACAGCAAAGTTGCAAAGTTCTAGCTACATGTAGAAGTCCTGGTGGTGGTGGAGACAACAAGTTTGCAGAATATTAATCAATCATTGACTGTTTTGAAGGTAGCAAACATGTACCTCCACATTTTGTACATCCACTTTACGTCTTGATCACGGAGTGACTTAGACTCACGAAAATACGAGTCTAGATTGAGACAATGTAGATCTTCTAACCTCCCGAACTTCTTACAGAGCAGGGGTCAGTAGCTCCCAACCCTCGTTACGATTCATTCCAGCACGACATTTAACATTTGGTAACCATATTGTTCTTCTTTACTTGAACTGTCCTGCCACTTGCTACATAATGCTAACCAACAACACAGGTGTCTGCTACAGCACTAGGTACCATCATGATGGTGAGTAGTAGTAGTGAGTATGGGTGATCAGTAAAATCTAAACTTCAAGAAAGACTGACATTAGATTCTGTCATTAATAAGCTACAATATTCCATGTAGATTAATAACCTTGGTGTAGTAGTGTGTATGGGCGATCTCCAACACCCCAAAGGCACTGGCTACTCCACCAGGGACATGGTTCTCGTGTGAGTGCTCCAGCCCCACCACACAAGCCTTCAGCACTGCCAACATGCCCTTGTACACCGCACGGCTCACTTTCTGTGTGACAGAGACAAAACTTTTCTTCAGCTACTGCTAAGAAGCAAAATCATTGTTATATTAAGATGTGGAACTTTATTCCAACACAAGGATTTAATAGAAATCAACTGTCTCCTTCATCAGGATAATTGATGACCAATCCTTCGAAAGATAATCTCACGAAATTACAGACATGAGACTTTATTCACATAAGACTTTACGGATACATGACATCAGCAATTGATTAAACATGCCAGTAAATTTATTTCGTCCACTACAGTATCTCTCTTAAGTGATGGCTGGGGTGCCCTGATATATATGGCCTCCTTGATGCCTCTTAGAAAGTAGTCCTGTTCAGTTTCCAGCATTCTAACTTTATCCAATGAGACCTCCTTGTTGACTAGATTTCTTGAACACAAATACCCCAGCTTGCTGTGATCGGAAGTTTTTCAACACATCCACATCGAATCACCGGGCCATACCGTCTCATATTTCAGCAAACCAAAGAACATCTGCCCTCACCACGTCCTCGATGTGGTCGGAGTATCTGCCGTCCTTGTTGTTCTCCTCGTCCCTGACGGCATTCTCCAGGAGGCGGTTGATGACAAACATGCGCAGAGACTCCTGCTCCATCAGCCTCCGCAGCTTCTTCAGCTGCAGCCAGCCCACACCCTGTCCCTCCAACACACCGCTCACTACGTCCTTCAGGAACTGCTGGTTTTCACTGAAAACAACACAGAAATTTTATTATTTTCAGCTTCTTCAGCTGCAGCCAGCCCACACCCTGGCCCTCCAGTACACCGCTCACTACGTCCTTCAGGAACTGCTGGTTTTCACTGAAAATACCACATAAATATGGACAAAATTAATGTTACATTGCACAGCAAGTGTTACTATTTCTACAGCTGCAGCCAGCCCACACCCTGGCCCTCCAACACACCGCTCACTACGTCCTCCAGGAACTGCTGTTTTCACTGAAAATACCACGGAAATATGGACAAAATTAATGTTACATTGCACAGCAAGTATTACTGTTTCTTCAGCTGCAGCCAGCCCACACCCTGTCCCTCCAGTACACCGCTCACTACGTCCTTCAGGAATTGCTGGTTTTCACTTTAAAAAACAACAACACGGAAATGGGGAAAACAGGGTAAAAAACGTTTCTATTCAATTAATGTTGCACTGGGCAGCACCCCTCTCTATTTCTTTAGCCCTGACACACACAAAAGATATTACATATCACGAAGATGACAAGAGATAAAACTATGACCAACCCTACAATAAGCACAGCTGGTGAACATTCAAATGTCCAAAAATAACTCATCTTCAACGATAACAATCATGTTCAGCTCTGTGTAGTGGCTGTGTATCGTCTTAAACATCTAAATAATTGGCTTTTTTTTCCATTAGTCCACACAAAGATCCCACCACACTTATTGAAAAAAGAAGGGTCCTTTTCAGTGTGAGTGGATCATACTTCACAGTCAGGTCTCATGCAGCTTTGTACGTACTGTACAAAACTCATGACAAAACCGATGTGTTACAACTGCAGGTGGTTCACTGGTTATGCAAAACAAAAATCTTTACACCAACATTTGGGGACAACAGAAAAAAACAAGGCTCATACCTGCTGTTGATCTTGGAGGAGTCTGGGGGAGACTGGGGGCTGCCCTTGGAGGGGGGAGGGGGTCTCCTAAGGGATGACTGACTGCTGCTGTGTCTGATGAGGGACTTGTCTGCTAACGCCTTCCTGCTGCTGGGAGCTGGGGAGAAACATGGACAGTGAATTATGCAAGACGTACATTCAAACAATCAAATAGAAGGCAATTCCATGTGTAAGTAGTATGGTCTGAAGTACACTTTCCTTAGGAAAAGATTTGAAAGCGCTTGAAGACAAACTGTGTTGGATATGTGTAGAAGAGAACTAATTGAAGGCAAATAGTGCTACAGCTAGGCAATCAGCACCAAGGACAGGGATGCCTTATGATGACTGAAGGTAGTTTTTAGAGACAGAATATCACATTTGCTTCTTTGTCATTGCTGCTGCACATTGTTTCTTTGATACAGAACAGAGTACGAAGTAAACATATTGTTCAGTGTAAGACTGACCTCTTGGGAAGGGGCCGAATGACTTGCCTCCGTCGCTGCCTCTGGACCTGGTGCTGAGGGTGGACACTCCACTACTGCTCCTCTGTAGGCTATCTGCTAACAGGGACAGCACCACAACATTCAGTTCACATTCAGTACAAGTCTCTCAGTAATGTATATGTCAGGGAAGAAACTCTAGTAGAATCAGTGATTATGATCGTAGTCTTTGTCACCAGTGACTCCAGTCAGGATGCTGTTCATGTGTAAGTCAATTTGTTGATCTACTAAAGTGCAAATGTGTTCAAATTTACGGACAACAATTAGGATCTCTGCCAGTAGAATCTCTGACATAAATCCTGATCAGAGTTTCTGTTGACAAAGACTGTGATTCGGGATCTCTACCAGTAGAATTGCTGATTCTACCAGTTAAGTGTCTCTACCCTGACATATGCATATATAACAGAACTAAGACACAGATTGCTGTTGAAGGAACATGGGACATTACCTCCTTTAAAAGACTTTAAAACTTACACTTCTGCATAATTTAAGGTATTGAAATCAAATTTTCTCAGCCCTTGATGAGAAACATCACATACATAGCTAAGGCATTCATATACATACATAATGTGGCATAACAAATCGTCTAATGTACAACATCTACTTTTGAAATGTAACAAACTGCAGTAATGTATGTTTTGTGATATTTACCTAATAGTATTCACTTATTGGTATGTACGAAACAATTTGATTGGAAAAAAGGTGAGCTTCTGTGTATGATTACTATGTACCATTGTTATAGTTAAGCTTTTAATACTTAGCCCATCCCTATACTTTGCTTTAATTTAAACAAAACTACTATCAACTACAGTCAACATGCATGAATGTGTGGTCAGTGACCGATGATGACTGTTGCACTACAATCCTTCAAAACAGATGGTGAGGTGGGCAGTGTCTCTACTTTTAAATATGTGTGGGGTCAGAAAATCAAGTGAAGTAACAAATTTGAACCAAGAGGGCTAACTTAGAAACTAGATGTAACATAATAAAGTGTATACGAGATAGTCCTTTGAATTAACGATTGGCACAAGGAACTTGACATTTTACTTAATCTGAACAAAACTGGAACACAGAGAAATAACTAAGACTAGATGAACAAAATAGTCAAAAGACAGAGATAAAATTGACACACTTACAGAACCGGAGAGGAAGGCTTATTGGTACAATGTACAGTACCCTACTTCCCATGCACTGGAAATGAGGACATGCTACAAAAAGGCTACGCCCCTGAAGGCGTTGCCAAAAACAGTGATGAAGAAACCAAACACAAGTTAGGCAGTGTGAATCAACACAGGCTACAGTGAAAAAAAATGTAGTTGTAAAAAAGCCAAATCATATTTAGAAGCTCAAAACAAGAGCTGGAAAATCATGCTAAAAGTCGTTCACACACAAGCTAGGTTTCTCTTCTTTCATTATTGACTACGACATCACCACAAAACAAAACAACTGAGAACAGTCCGTTTTTTTTAGATCTAGTGAGAAATGGCGGCGAGGAAATTTTGCGACACGGCATTGTGGGAAGACTACAGCAGAGCATGCTGGGAAACCAGGTACTGTGGACGTACTTGCGAATGAGAAAAAGCTACTCATGCTGCTTTTCATACGTGTATAACCATTCCGGTCGCTGCTGGTGGCCGAGGAGACGGACTCAGCATCGGATTGGTCGATCTTCAGGTTGGAAATCTTGCTGGCGATGGAGGCCAGCGACCACGCAGACTGGGGGTCACCTACTGGGAGGATAATGGAGAAAGTTCTAAATAACCAGTTTGGATTTTAGATTTAATTAATTATTCTGTATATAGTTTGTGTGTAACTGCCATTAAGTTAATGTTTAGATTTTCTTGTATTTCTTCAGCAAGTAGATTTAATAAATGCTAATAATTATAAGCAATTATGTTTCCCCTGAAGAAATAAAGAAAATTAATAATGATTAAATTGAATTGAAAATTGAAAATTTAATTCAAAACATGTCAATTTAACATCTCGTTTAAGATCGTATTTAAGGATGCCATCTTGTCTACAGTTTTCAACTGTCGTGTTGGAAAAGATATCGTCTTCAACAGGCAAAATTCTGATGCAACGTTGACTGAACATCCAACAGAAACCACGAAAAATCTGGCCAGGTTTCTCCCAGGCGCAGTGCATTCTGTCGACATACTAACAGTATCCACATTCCTCTGATCTCACCTTTCTCCACCAGACTGGGCAGCCCTGCCCCCCTCCCCGCCCCCTCGTGTACAGGCAGCTCGTACATGGACATGGACGGGCCGTACGGGCGGGACTTGGGGATGTTGTTATTGTCTGTCTCCAGCTCAGGCCTGCCCTTAGCCTGCTTGGCGATGTACTCCAAGGCATCGGTTTTGGAAGGGTGGCTGGAGTCTGAGTCGTAGTTCAGCGAGTCGATGTCTGCATCTGTGTCGTTTCCTCTGTCTCCCTGGAAATTTTGTAAGTAACAAAATTGCCACTTCACTTCACTGAAGAGTTAAGTCCTCTATGGGTCAGGTGACAAGAAGACAGGTTTACTGCAACCAGTTTACTGCAAAAGTTCCCTGGCTATTCACAACACACACAATAGGGGACCACAGCTTAAAGCCCCATCCAAAGGTCTGCGACTGTTTCCAGTAGCATGCATGTCTGGTGGACAGCAATTTAGATTTAAGTACAAGATTTAAGGTATTTTTTATATTCTCATCACTAACCAAGACTGAATGTTTTAAAACTAGCAACCATCATCATCATTCGTCTTGGACAATCTTGTGAGTTATGCTACCTGGTACTTTAGCAATAACATAATATCATGCAGCCTTTTAACACCATGTCTGTACTATCTAACCTCTTCGTGGAACATGGGGTTGATGGCTTGTTTCTCAGACTCCGGGGAGGGTGTGGTGGCTGTGGAGTGGGGAGACATGGTGACGGGGGAGGGGCTCTCCTGTAGCATTGGTGGAACCTGCAGCAAACAAACACAATACTATTAGAAACAACAAACTTTAAGGTGAATACATTGTAAAGGTGAAAGCATTTCCCAATCACATGCATATTAATGTTTTCCATCGCATATGGTCTGGTCTTACAAAATACTGCAGCTCTAGATCTGTTTATACTTACTCAACCACGTTCATATATATGGTGACCAGCCCCTCCAACTCTGTCCTGCAACTTGCAACATAATGTAACCCAACACCATGGGGTGTCTGCTATAGCACCAGTCTGTCACCATGGTGACAGTATTCCATTCAATTTCCCTTTCCCCTAAGCAATTCATTACACTTATAGTCAATATTCAGGCATGTAAACTATACAGAATACAAACAACCTGTATGAACACCTGCTGGCTCACCTGTAATGTACTGGGTGGAGAGCAGTGAGCCAGGGCCTCTCTGTCCACCTCAATCTCAGGAACACCTGTGGAAGACAGACACCAGCCAAACATGTCCTAAACTTTACAACAGGCACAAACCAGGCAGGGGAAACACAATAACAGACAGGCCTTCAACAAATCTGATGCAAACTTACAGTGTTCAGTAACTGTTAGTCCTTTATATTTTATGTAGTAGTTTGACAAATTATTGATGTCATGTATCCATTTCATGTGACTGAGGTCACATGATCATGTGTCTGTAACTTTTGCGGATTTACGTTTGGAAGTGATTGGTTAGTAATCATCTTGTTGAAGGCAACAATAGTCATTGAAAATTTGATCCTTGTGTAACCTTTATGTTGTAGTAATATTGTTTTATCAAATTATGGAAAGAACAGTGCTTTTATGAGGCTTTGAGAGACACAGTAAGTGTAGCTCATTTGTTGAAGGCACGTTCTTGCTTTTGTGGCCCCAAAAGGTACACAAAAAACATGCAACAAAATGACAACAGCAACAGAAAGAGAACGAGATACCAAAGGGAGGAGAAGCTCGGAACACAGCAGGGAAGAAACTGACAGTCAAATTTCCCATTTCCGTGGTAACCACGGAACCTCCTTACCCACGATGCACTGCTGTTGTCATGGTAACCAAACATGCGCATGTCCCACATGCGAGTCGTTATTCAAGCCTACCATTCTCATTCTGCAGGGTTGAACGAAAGAAGAGCAAAAGATAGAGACCTCATGCTCCCTCAGGCCTAACTTTTAAAAAAACAAGGGAAGGAAGGAAAAAGGAAAGGAGGAGTAAAGCGTAAAACTGGTAATGATGATGATAATAAGGAAGAGGTCTAGACTAAGAACACAGAACATGCTACTAACTTGGAGTAGTACCACTAATGCCACTGTTTATCATGTCCGTCACAAAGTCACTTAGTGACGAATAGGACGAACTTGTGGTGGATCCGCCCGCGTCCTCGCTGACATCCGAGCCCGTGTCGCTGCCGGACTCGTCGGTGGGCGGCTCTGATTGGTCGTCCACCTGCTCGGTCAGGGCGAGCTCCAGCGCGGAGGCCAGGGTGGAGTTGTCGTCGTACACGTGGAACTGCACGGCGGCCAGCTGGTGGGCGTACCACTTGGGCTTGTCCCCGATCAACACTGGGTCGTGGACAGCTGCAGCGTACAGGATATAACTGTTCAGTTATCTATTAATATCTAGTTGTCGAGATTTACCACATTTGTGGATTCCGAAAGGATATACTTATCAAGTTATTTACCACATTTGTGGAAGGATTGGCATAACAGGCACCTATCACCTTTTCAAGATGTAAAGAAACCAATCACTGTGACATAATATAAATGAGAACTTATACAGTGCATGTCAACCTACTCTCAGTCTGGTGTGTGTGTGTGTGTGTGTGTTTGCGTCTATATATTAGGTTGAGACATCACATAAAAACTCAATATATAATTGATATGAATTGATAATTCATACAATCATGAAGGCCTGACTTACTGTTTTGTATTCTCTGAAAGGTTGTGTTTGTTGGAGCCAGGCACCATTCTCCAAAATACTCCACAGCCTGCAACATGGAACAAAACATACATCATGTACACTCAAAAGAGGTTAACTTTATATGCAGGGTCAGAAGACCTTTAGATCTCTAGTTTTCAAAATCTATCCAGTTACTCGAGTAACTGTAACTTGTGTATCTCATTACCTGGATGTCTAACCTACATTGACGCTCTATAGATTACACCTCACCTGTGTCCCAGCCAGTCTCTTGATGAAGTCGGTCTGCTTGCCCCTGGACTTGAGGAAGGTAGCGAGCTGGAAGGCCACCACAGGCCGGGGGTAGAGTCTGAGGGTGCGTGTGTGCACCCAGTGGTCACCCAGCACGTTCTTGGAGGTAAAGAACTTCACCATCGCAACTCTGCAGAATAAAACATTATCTCTTTATTCTACCTCACTGTAGGTTGTATCTTACTACATGGTTGGTGCTACACTTTTCCCAACAGATGAGATGCGAACTAGATAGAATTGCCCGCATCAGAAGGCTACGTTTTTGATTTGGCCACACACGGTGGAGTGGCTGTGGTGTGGGTGTGTATGTATGTCAACGTCATAACTCAGGTAGTTGTGAATGGAACTTAATCAATGGATAGTACCAAAGTACATTTTATATTTCCATGGTTACTGACCTGGTTGCTATGTCGACAGAATCCACATCATTCCCATAGATGAGCGGGTTGAAGCCCATCTCAGGGGTTGAGGGGGAAGCGTTCCTCACCGGCACGGCCAGACTCTCCTCCTGCACCTTATCCAGGTTCAGGATGGGCTGGGGGGCCATGCTCATACTGGACAGGGCCTGGGAGCAGTATACGGATTAGATCTTTATTACAATGTCTAAAAGCTGAGTGGCCATGCAGATGCTGGACAGGGCCTCGGGAGGGAATGTTAGCATGAACATTAAGACATATTAAGTTCAATCTAAAATCTTTAGTGTGAAAAAAAAGATGGGCGAAGGAGCCATGTGGTGATACACAGATTAGATTCCTTCTGTCTGTCTTCATGTTACATGTAACTATATCTAAAAGCTGAGGGGCCATGCTCATGTTGAACAGGGCCTAGAGGGAGGGAGATTAAGGTTGGCACGTACATTAGAACACAAGTTTGATCAAAATCACCTATTGACGTATTGTTACTGTAAAAAAAAGATGTCCTGAGGGGCCATGCTAATGTTGGTATGCTCATGCCCTACTAATCGCTTGGAGATGGGAGGTGAAGGTTGTCATGTAGATTAGGACACAAGCTTAATCTAAATTTTAATCTAAAAACTCCAGTATTTATTAGTTTTGTCATGATTTTTAAGTGGTAAAAGTCAGAATAGTTGACTTTGAAATGTATCAGTTCTTCAGTGTGAAAAAAAGAAATGGGCTGAGAGGCCATGCTCTTGCTGGACAGGGAATAGGGAGGGGGAGTAATCATTATCATTTGACAGTCAGAGCAGGAAAAATCTCTGCACATCGTTAATCTGTATTTCAACAGTTTCCAACTACTTGAGTTGTAGTTGCAGTCAAGTGACATTGTCTAAAACTGGAGAGCCCAGGAAGAAGGAGAAACATCATGCACATGATCATGACAGTAGACAGTCAGGCATTACCAGCCTAAGTAACACATGTAGATGAAGAACTTGAGACAATGAGCAACAGAAAATGATAGATGATGGCAGGTGGTAGAGAGAGAGACAGACGTGAAGCTACATACCCGCTTTACATCTAGACCCTGGCGGTCATGGTGGAATGGATGAGAGAGACAAAAATCACAGTCACAGTGTAAAATGTACACAAACGGAAAAATAATACAACTTGGAGAAAAAACATAAAGCTTTAAAACATGTTGCTGAATGCATGCATCGCATACTGTACATGTCTGGAACTGGCAAAACTTTCACAATTTCATGTTTATCAATGTTTGAAATAATGTAGAATCTATACATTGATTAGAGTTATCATTACGGTGCAAAATGTGATGACATTGTGCCATAAAAAATGTGCTGAAAACCTGGGATCTATTTACAAATTTGCTTTGCATTTTGTTTCCTAGTACCAGACTATTTCAACAGTCATACTGTGCTGGTCACTTTGGCCATAGATGAACACTTGTGTAATAGAAGGAATCTTCTGGATAATATTTGGAGTCAAAATCCTACAAACAAGGGGTCTTTAATAACTCAAAATGAGAAGTAACAACCAAATTTCAGGATCATCATATCAACTGTTACAGTTAACCGAGCGACAGAGCAAAGCAGATGCATGGCAGCTGTTGAACCATGTACATCTCACTATGGTTGTTACCTGTTTGAGGTGGTTCTTGAGCTGAGTGCCCTCAGGTTCAGGAAGGGGAGGTAGTTCATCTGCACAGCGTGGCACTGTGATCTGGGGAGAAGGCACCACACATGTACACATGTCAGAGAAAGAATTTAGCAAGTAGGATAGTTTTTCTCTCATCTCATTTTCTTGTTTCAGCTTTTTTGTATGTAACACACCAGGTTCACTGAGACTTACATAGAAGCAACTGGTTGATATTAATATAATACATTTGAACAGGTATTGTCAGGGGCACTAAGATGTTAGAAACTTCTAAAAGATTCGCCTTTTGGGTACGGATTACTTTGTGAGGGGTGTGAAGGAGGTGGTCTACATCAGGGCCAATTAACCCTCTCTGTACCGTGACAGTGGCAGATTCTGTCTTCCTGCCACTTTTGATTCACTCCTGATGTCATCACACTTCCGACTTCCAAAAAGTCAGCACAATAGATCATTCGTCTGATGAAGGTTGACATGTCAAACTGAAAATTCATGGTGAGTCTTGCTTTTTGTGTTGGAACTAACGCTTAAACTTTGTAACTATGCTTAGAGAAACTTGCTTGGAGAAAAAAAACAGCTGAAATCCTGACCTTGTTGGAGTCCAGGTCTATGAGCCAGACATCATCAGGCAGCTTGAAGTCTGCCTTGTAGAGGAAGAAGCTGGCGGGGACTCCGATAATGTATGGGGACGGAACTAGCAGCAGCTGGGAGGGAGGGGAACAGAAAATAACTACAGGTGTCTCAATCCAGTTTAGCTTGCGTACTTATAAGTCACTGGTAATTTTCCAACTATCTTGACATAGACAATGGCAAATAGTTATAGTGTGCACAATCTGGTAAGAATTGGCAAAGAAAGCAATTACTTCTAACTGCTAGCATCAATTTACTTCTAAATCTAACATGGATAAACTCTTAAAGTAACTCTACTAGTAGAGGGCTATAGCATGGTATATATGGATCAACGTGTATCCATACATGTAGTTACCTGTTCTGCACAACTCATGCAGGTGGGGAGGAGGGGGATGGACATGTAACCATAGTTACCTGTTCTGCACAACTCATGCAGGTGGGGAGGAGGGGGATGGACATGTAACCATAGTTACCTGTTCTGCACAACTCATGCAGGTGGGGAGGAGGGGGATGGACATGTTGCCATAGTTACCTGTTCTGCACAACTCATGCAGGTGGGGAGGAGGGGGATGGACATGTTGCCATAGTTACCTGTTCTGCACAACTCATGCAGGTGGGGAGGAGGGGGATGTAACCATAGTTACCTGTTCTGCACAACTCATGCAGGTGGGGAGGAGGGGGATGTAACCATAGTTACCTGTTCTGCACAACTCATGCAGGTGGGGAGGAGGGGGATGACTGGGAACATGTACTCCATCGGGTAGATCATGGCCACGAACGCCATCACACTCATGGACAGGGCGTTGTAGTCTCTGGACTGGAGTACAATCTGAAGGGAACGAAGAGGTCAACAAGTTAAAATTCCTCTGAATCCCTGCCTGCCTGATCTGCTTGACTTCATCAAATAAAACACAGGAGGATGAAACACGATTATACAATGCATGAAAAAAAATTTGCAACATGATGTAACACTAGTTACCATGGTGACAAACGTCTGGTTCAGGTCATTGACCTTATTGATTTGGAGGAGAAGAAGAAGAGGAAACAGAGCAAAAACAATGTGTTTCCCTTTCAACTTGGTAAACATTTAAAAAAATCTCAATAGTAGCCCACCTTGTGTTCCAGCAGGATGCAGGTGAGTACTTTCAGGCATGTCTCGACCCCTAGCAGCTCCAGTGGGAGGTGCATGGGGAAGTCAGCCAGACAGAACCTGTGTGCGTCGGGCAGGGCGAAGGTCAGGGGCGCCTGCATGTCTGTGGGGAGGATGGACACCTCCACGCGCGTCTTCCCCGGGATGCACACCGGCGCGCTGAGAAGTCGGCAGATCCACGTCTCCAGCTCACGGACATCGTGCGTCACCAGGCTGGCCTTGTCATCCGTACGGTTACCCGTCAGGACGCCCCAGACCGAATTTCTGCGCGGGAAGAGCGAGAGAGAAATTATTACTCTAAACCTTGAGAATTTTACCTACCTACCTACATACTTAGTCCCATGACCGACCCTGGTTGTTGGAGAACAAAATTATTAGGCAGGCATTGCAGATAGAGATAATACCTACTAGACATATCTTGTCTTGGTGTCCTATGTTAAGCTCTGAGTCTGAGTTGTGGTATGGTAATTTTACCAGCTTTTAATTTGATTTTGAGGACAAAAGACCAATGTTAATTTGATTGCAATGCTTCTTGATGTTACCCTGTATGTTACCCTGCCAAATCCAAAAAAACAGCAAAATTGTCAGGTACAAAATAATGAAATAAAATAAACATATAAAATTTTATTGCAATGCTTCTTAAAAACTATTATGTTACCCTGCCAAATGTAAAGAAAATACAGCAGAGAATTAACAAAAACAAATGACATGAACATGTACACTGAAGTCTTGGCAATGTTCCAACTGTGAACATAGGTATTACATGTAAGTAATGGAGAAAAGTACTCTTTATGTTTTAATAAACATTATGCAATATGTAAAATGTATTTGAATGGACTGGGCATCTTACTTAGAATCCACCGTACATGTGTTGCCTGGTATGTTTGACATGTTTATGATTCCTCTACAACATCTTACTGTATATCATATAATTTGTGTCTGGGCTACTTTAAGTGAGTCTAATAATAAATGATAAAACGAATTGGTTGAACACTGCCAGGCACAGTGCCAATTATCCACTCAGGCTGATTAAGTAGAGTCTCAGTCCTGCAGATGTGACAAAGTAATATATATCCCTTCTGGCATGTTCAACTTCAGCCTGGCTTTACCTGTGTAAATAGCAAAACTCCCCCACAATGAGACTATGAACTTGTTTTTGTAGATAGGGTTTCAGATAAGATTATACTGTTAATGTTATTTGGTAGTAATAACAGTCTGTCCTGATGTTTAAACAATCAGTCTGAGCGACAGACTTATTAGGGAAATTTCCCCATGTTGACTATTGAGGTTTTGTTTACTTGGTGTGCTTGTTGTTATTTGTTTGTTTTTGTGTGCCTATAGTTGTCTAATGAATCCAGTAGAGTCATGGGATGGTGTAACCATAGACTGACAGGAAGGACAATTTGGAGGTAAAATGGCCTAGGCTGAGAAGAAAATGAAATGACAATGGAATATGTATAAGTTATACATATACTATAACGAAAAACTCAGTGATGAATAAAAGAAATTCACAGCAACTCTGAGATCCATGTGAAATCTTACATTTTTTTTTTAACCTTGTGACAAAGAAATGGTTACAGGGAAAGACGAATGTTGGAGAGCTCCCTGTGTTTTTTATTTTAATACCCTGGATCCAGTACGCGTACGTGTGTGGAACTGTAATGCAGGCCGTCCCAGGTGGGGCCCGCGTCTTAATCAACTGTTGCTCCAACCAGTTTGATCTGGGTAAAACCGGCTGCCGGGGAAAATCCACGTCATTCTTCATTTGTACAGCCGCAATCTTTGATGCAATATATCAAGGGTTAAGGCTCTGCTCTAACTGTGAGTCAGAGAAAAATGGCTCTGTTTTAGGTGCAGAATATTTATGGTTTCCTGGATGTGCAGTATATAAGTGGGAAAGGGGCATGTGAAAATACAGTGTGACAGAGTCACAAACATCCGTGAAACTCTCACGAGAAGATGATGATAAAAAAATATGATCGACTCATCTTATATTTACATAAAATAGCAGAAAGTTAAGCACAATATCCTTTTTTCTGTTTTCTGAAACAGCACATTAGTAACTGTGACTATTCTTTACACATCATACAAATGAATGTACATGTAAAACAGCCATATTGTGTAGCAACATTATATTAGGTCCCATTTCAATGTCAATCTTTTCTATCCGTTTCACCGTTAAACATATAGCTGTTAGACAGTTAGTACAGCTGTCCTCCACCCTGCATTTTCACCCAAAGATTTTCACGGTCATGAGCCTTAGACATTCTGCAAGCCTGGCCAGTTTAGCAAACGAAATTTGATCCACAACTTTGAAATGAGGCATACAGACTGGCATGCTTGAAAGACCAAAAGGGACATTAGGATGCATGGCATTACCCTTACATGAACACTGTGATTTTGAACAGATTTAAGTCAGAAACACCGACTTGAGGTGCTGAAGTTACAATAGTTTTAATAAAAGACCCAAACAGCCGAACAGTATATCGTAGCAACCTCGCTCACTGAACACCAACACCACCCGACCTGCTTCTAAACATGGTTGGGGGAAGTTCAGCCAGTGTTCGGGACGCCATACTCAGCTATGTGTGACAGAGGCTTAACCATTGAATGAGCTACCAAGATGACAGTACTAGTTTGACTTTGAGCATTGTGTTCATACTGTACACTTCACTGTGTTTTCACATACTGGAATATCTGGACATCTCCTGAGTGACCTTACTTGTCACAGCTACAGGCAGCAGAAGAATGATTGCAGTGCCCTTAGAGCACATAGGGGTGTAATCGCTGTGTAGATACAGGCACTCCAGCAGATATCTTAATGGCTATAAAGGCTGACTTATGGCACACACATGACCTGGGCTCTTACACAGGGCTGGATATCTTTTTTTTCTCCATGCCTAGGCCTGCACTGGTGCAGGTAACATTGAAAATTACCTGCACCAGCCAATTTTACCTGCACCACTCAGAATTTAGGAAGCATGGATCACACTTAGGACTGTTCCAAAACAACTGCCATTACATTTTACACATGGGTGATGACAGTCAATACAGGTAATAAAAATACATCTACACTTACATATACATTTTGTACCTAAACCCAGTACATGAACCAGAACATGTATTTTGACCCCTGCCTATATGTATAAGTACATGTACAACCAATTACAGTAGCATTAGACCATACAAAACGTAGTAACTCTGATACGTACACAATTTGGGCCTGTTTTCCCCAAGATTTTGCTCATTCTACACAGCATTTTATTTGTTCCAAGCACAGTGCATGTTTAGTAGTTCTTTTACACAGAGGACAGTGCTGCAAAAATTAAAAACCATTTTTTCTAAATGCATCAGGATATTGATCCTAATTGATTTATATCCTCTAGAGATTACAAAGCTGATGTGCTCTGATCAGATTAATGTTATTTTTGGGGCCTCTCCTTGGTGCTGAAAATTTGGTCGAGAGCATTCTAATGAAAAAGCAATATGATAGAGATTGAATATGACAAGCCTGTGATGTCATACTCATAGGTACCATGTCTACTAACCTCTATAACATTTATTTGCCAGGTCACACATATATCCAGCACCTTAAACAGCAGTATGTCTGATTAAAGACAGCTCCTCAATGCAAGATCCTCCAGTGTAACACACTCCTGCATATCTACACACTTCACATGCATGCCTGGGGGAGGGGGGGGATGTGTGCTGAAGTAGAGATCTCTTAGAACACGTTGTGTCACTGTTGGATACTACTTTCTTGAAATTGTAAGTTGATACATGTATTACATGTATATGAATGTTGATAGTTGTTACAAATTATTTTGTTTTACATATCTATCTGGTGTAAGATGTACCTACCACATTCTTTAGTTTAAATACAGTTGGCTGGGTGACAGTAATCAAGAAGCAAGCAATCAAATTAGTATAGTAATCAAGGCACAACAAATTAGATATGAATAACATTGTGGGCAAATTTGCATTTCATGATTAACAGTGGGGTCTCGATATGATCAATGGTAATACATTGATTATTCTAAATGTATATGAAAATTTCTTTATAGATCTCGTATTGCAGAAACAGAAATATTTCAAGCCCTTTGTGAGAATAGTCTTCTTGGGAAAGAACCTTCTAGAATACAGTTAACCTCCCATGCTGCTGGCTAACATCGGGCTGCTGGATAACATCCTACCAACACAGAACTACCTTAGGAGTGAGATTAAGGTTAAACTAAGAACAGAAGCCTCAGGTGATAAAGTACAGGGCTGTCTCCTGGGTCCACCCTGCAGCACTTAGGACTCTGTTTGCCAGTAATTAGCAGTACCAGCACAACTCAGGCATGTTTGGTGGTAACATATTTCTACACTTCTACTCTTGCCATTCAATTAAACACATAACATAAACCCTTAGAGAATACACAATCACACTGCTGGTATGTCAAGAAGAAACAAACTTTAAAGCAAGTTAGGAAAGATGAACTGTTCAAATTAGATGCAAACTACAAAACTTGAGGTTGAATAGAAAGCTTAGAAAGCTGTGTATATACATGAAGCAGGTGCACGAGGTCAACGGCTTTTGTCAAGGACTTTGTTATGCTAGTTATTGATCGTGTGGTTGGAAGGTCTGTTCTATTATATTTGAATCAGTAATGTCATGACCAAGACAAGAGTGTCCCCTGGTTTCTTACTTAGTTGAAGCAGACTACAGACCATACGAAAGTCCCAGGGACAGTGTACTTTTGTCCAGTCACTATAGAATCTCTTCTCTCTTAAACATTTAACTGTTTACGCCAAAAAACAGTTACTCAAGCAACTGGATATGATTTTGGAAATGGTCAAACGTTTCAGGTAGTATCCACCACCTTTCGTCAGTGACACTAGAGACTTGCAGGAAAAAGACAGATTTATACGTATAAAACCTTTTACTGCAATACCATAACAATTTTCTGTCAAGATTTTCAGAAAAGACTGACAGAGAGAAAAATCTCACAATGGCTCAGCAAACTTTTGCCAGCTGGTATCCTAACAGCAATGTTAGTACATGTACATGGAAGCCTGCACTATGTCAAGGTGCCTAAAAGCACTTTAGGGAAAGGCTATCTGTAAAAGGTCTAAACATCATTTTGTCTGACAACATTCTTAAAATTCCACGTTGAGATAAGGCAGCACTTTTCAGTCTATTACATAACAATCAACATACATACAGAGCAGGAAATTTCTTGCTCAAAGAGTCTGCATGCTCTAAATATTTTCAACAGCAATTAAGCACCTGTGTGCCCTTGATAATTCTACGAGATTGGTTGATGTTTGCAGGTCAACAATCCCTTTCTCAGCTTCCTGATATAAGGTTTACCGAGGCGATTTTGAAATCTACCAGTCACGTTCTGGCAATAAACAAATTCAGCCCAAGTTTGTTGATAGTCTAGCTTCTATAAGAATACACAAATAACACAGATTTCAAATCATTTTCTAGCATGTAATTTTGCAACTTCCCAGATCTTTCGGCCAGTCAAATTATGCTTTATAACCTTCTCCCTGCTACCCATACCCAATAGCAAACTCAGGTAGCCAGACAGCTACTCCAGTATGCTAATGGTTAATATTAACAGTTACTTACATGTACCCTTAAGCCTAAACACAACACATACTTTGTAAGACATTCCTTACCTAAACGTTCCCTTGGCAGCTCCGACTTTCTTCCCTCCCGTCCTCTGGTTACAGGCATCGATCAGTCTCTTCAGGATAAACAGACACTCGCGGAACGTGGAGAAGAAGGGATGGTGGCTGACGATACAGAGCGACGTGAGCGTGTTGTTCCTCACCCGGCCCTGCTTCCTCCTCCGCCTGTGTGTCTGCGGCGTGCCCTCATCGTCCCCGTCTATCGAGTCAGTCCTGGGCTTCTGCAGCGTCGGCTGTTCGCCCGCCGGGCCGCAGCCGCCGCGACCGTGCTCCGTCGAGTTCCTCTTCTCGAAGGGGCGGTAGAAGTTCACGCAGATTCCGAACCGTACGCGGTTGGAGTCCTTCTCCGTGAGGGAGAAGACGAAGGAGTTGTCCTCCCGCAGGGAAACCCGTTTGACGCCGGCGCTGATGCAGCCCTCGGGCTGGCAGAAGAAAACTACGTCCGGGGGGAGGGGGAAATCATCGTGGTCTTCCACTGGGTACCTGGGGAGGCAGCAGACAAGCGTGGAGGAGTCACATTTATGATAAGAAATACAGATCTTCTTCCAATAAAAAAGGCTGAACAAGTCTTTGATTCATATCAGTTTTGTTACTGTCTATACATGCAGGATTTAGATAAGGATGATTGAGAATGCAGAATTTAGATAAGGGCATCTGACAATCTTTACTTCGGAATCCCCATGCTTTATTTCTAAAAATTGCAACTTTTATTTAAAGATAACCATTTAGTATCTTGGCAAACTGCACTGTTGGTGAAATTACAGTCATAATCAGAATGGCTTTGGTGTAATCGTTCTGGGAACTACCTAGTTTTTCCCGGAAGGTATTTATCTCTGCTGAAAAATCCCATCTATAAACTGTCACAGCATGATTTACATATGCTAAAATGGTGATTAGTATTTTTATTAATTATTCATTCGTAATCTAATGGATTGAAGAGCAGTGAAAGTTAATGGGAATCCTTTTGTTTGGATTAGCTCCTGTTTACAAACACTCAGTATTATCCAAGTGATTACTCTGATGTCCCGATTAAACGTACCGGTACGTTTATTTTTTTCGGCCCGAACGTCCACCCGGTACACTCTTATTAGGGACGGTACGTTTATTAATTTTTGGGAAAAAAATTGTCCATACGTACCGCACCATCAGCAAGTGGCCGGCGGCCGCAAAATTCGGCAACACGTCACAGATAAATATTTGGTCCATGATAGCGGCATTTCCCATGAATATAATGTATATTATTTATTTTTCGCCTGCTGTGAATTTTTAAGTCCCAAAACGTCTGAAAAAGCAAAAATTTGCCCACAAACCCGAAGGGGAAGGCGAGTAGCTAATCGACGTATTTAGCACAGGGCGGCCGCAAGTCCTTGTCAAAATCGGCAACGCGGCAGAATAATGCGTGGTCCATTTTAGCGATATTTACCATGAAAAAAACGTATGTGGTTTATTTTCCCTCTGGTGTTAGTTTTTAGGTCCCGAAACCCCTAAAAAAGTAGAAATTTGCCCACAAGACGGACGGCCGACGTGGGGAGGGCGCCTAGCGCCTGAGCAGCATGACCCGTAAAAAGTCAAAGGTCATAGGGCACCCATATTGCGCAATCACCGTAAAAGCGCCGATTTAGCTAATTTTAGGGCGTTTAAAATTGATACAATCACATTATCGATTTTTAAAAAAACAATGAGAACAAGCCGCGATATAATTATGGAAAAACGTTTTAATTATGGACTCCCACTCATAAATCCCAAACGCTTAACCCAACTGTCTTAATACTTTTTATGGTAACATATTAGGTGGTAATGAATATGCGGAAAGCGTTGATGAGTCCCTTGGGAATAGTCAAATTATAGATAATTATACTATAATTATGTATAATTATACATAATGATTTTGGTATTATACATAATTATATATAACCCTTTGGACCATTATACATAATTATAGATAACCCTTTGTACCATTATACATAATTATACATAACACCTTTGACCATTATACATAACCCTTTGGACCATTATATATAATTATACATAACCCTTTGGACCATTATATATAATTATACATAACCCTTTTGACCATTATCTATAATTATATATAACACTTTGGACCATTATACATAACACTTTGGACCATTATACATAATTATACATAACAATTTGAATCATTATACATAATTATACATATTTATACATAATCTATATGACCATTATATATGATTATACATAACCCCTGCACTTATATTATGCAGTTATCCATAACTTTGGGATTATACTTCTGAACAAATGCACAGGGAGTCTTATTTGCAATGATTTTCCATCCATACATGTACCTGTTTACAACTCAATACAGTCAAACCTGCTCAAGCTGGCCACCTAGGGGACCGGAGAAAAACGGTCGGGTTGGACAGGTGGTCTGCCTGAAAAGGGTTTATTTTCCTGGCTCACAACATGACCGAGAGTTAATCGTCTCCGATTCGATGTGTTTTGATGTCAAATATGGCAGGTATCAGGTCCTAAACTTCACAGTTCCTGGCAAATAAAGCAATACAGCTGTATTTGACTATTTGAGATTCATCAAATTCAATCACATAGGAATTTTCTGAGTACGCACAGCGGTATCAACATTTTCAAGCGCTTTGAAAGACAACTGACCGGATGCCGGCTGTAAGCCCCATTCACGGTTTAATGGATTTCTATCTATGGTGTACAGTGCAGTACATACAGCAACACCACGGATGATACACAAACTGTAGTACAGAAACT